GCATTTGCTATCTCTGTTTTATATTATGTACAATGCAAATTGTACAGAGACAATAAATGCATGTGTGGCATGCTTTTAAATTTAAGACACTCATTATTTCAGAATATTAATACTTTTGTTTACATTCTTAATTTGTATGGTATATACGATGCAAATGTTGATTCATCATTATCTTTAACTAGGTACTTAAAAACTTATACATTTTCAATTATAAATTCTAAAGCAAAAAAAAATTATTCTGGATAATCAACATATCAATTTTCTATATTGATCTTATATTTTAAAAATTAAAAACTTGATAAAAAACCTTCTATGAAATATACTTGCACAAATAATAAGTTTTTAATGTTTAAAGAAAATCACCTTTAAGTATTTATAATTTTTGTTTATTATTATACAATTAATTATATTATAATAGATATTAGTATAGTTTATAGCTAAGATGCATAGTTTACATATAACAATCATAATCCATATTAGTATCAATGGATATATTTTTCGTGCTCTTTTTATCTAAACTATTTAATATTCAATTTAATATATACATTTATTATAGTTAACCTTATTATACTTTATTGTTTTATTAGTGTACATCCTACTCTACTGTGTATTCCGATAATTTAATCCCATACAATAATTCAAAAATATTGTTAATAATTTTAACAATAAATATTTGATATTGTCCAAACTCAAAATAAATTAATATATAAAATATAAAACATATTTTATTAGAAAAATGAATACCCTATTTATTAAAATGGGTAAAGTGAGTTTAAATTAAAACAAGAAATAATTAAAAAGTAAGATTAGGTGTGGCTACACTTCACTAGGAATGCCATAGCATATATGGCATCTCACATGGATTACATTACAATTACATTACAAAATTTGGTATTAACTATGCAGCTACAAAATTATTTAGTAATACTTTGTAAATATTTTTGTAACAGTCCACTGGGTAGTGAAGGGCTCAGATTTTACTGCATTAAAATGTACTAAAATATTTAGGATTTGATATTACCAAAAAAACTTAATATAGCCTAAAAATGTTAAAAAAAGTTATAATCATTGCTAATGAAAAATGATTCTGAACAGAGTTAATATTTTGAATAGAATACATGATTATATATGTTTTTTCATCAATATTTGATACCAAAATTATAATAAAAATAAATTCTACATTACATTCAGTATTTTTTTTTCAACACCAAAGATGACTTATAATAAATCTCTTGTTAAATGTTGACCATTTCTCTCTAGATGTGGTAAATATAAGTTTTCTGTCCAAATTTAAAGTCTTCACAAATATTTTTAACTGAATCACAGCAAAAACAAAATTTAAAACTTAAAGTACTGCCTAGATAAAATTTACTTTCAGAAAAGGTATTACACTTTAAAATCAGATCCAGATTTTTGGTAGAAAAGTTGTTTACAGATGAAAAAATATTAAAAATAAACGTCATTGTAAACCCATACATTTATTCACTCCACTCAGAATCTAAAATAGTAATAAAAAAAATTAAATTATACAATCGTTTTTACTTAATGTTTTATAATAACTTGTATTAATCCTACATTTAATTTAACAGCCACTACACCAGAAAAAATAAAATACCTGTATTATAATATAAAATATTATTGAATGAAATATAAATGTTGGTATTATTTTAATAGGTTCATAAATGACAAATTTTATCTACTGCTTTTAATCAATTTAAACCAGATTTAAAAAAAATACTATAAATCATCACTATTTATATTATAATAAAAAATATGTCCTATGATAATGCGGACGTGTGCAGTCACAGTTATAGATTATTTAATGTACAATGCATATCAGTAAACAACAATAAACCATTGTTTACGAAAAACGATTCTGAGCAGAGTTCAGTTGATAATAATAATTTGTCAACAATATAAATGTCATTTTATGGTCAAATAACAAAATAGGCTTTATATTATCTTTAATAATTTTTGTTTAATGTTGTACCGATTTTCCATGTTTTATTCGCATTTCTAGGAAAACTCTTAGGAAAATCAAAAAATGACTTTTCTAAAGTCCAAGTGAAATTTCCCTGTAGATATATTGCTATCATTAAGTTGGAGCAAAATTGTTGGTAGAAAAGTTGTCCACAAAAAAAAAAATCATAATTATATTTATTAGGTATATTTCCTAATTATTTTCTTTTTTTTTTTTTGATTTTTTGGATTTGATAAGAAAACTCTTGAGAAAATTTAAAATTGAATACTGGGCCTCACTGAGAGATCTCATGTGGAGCCAAGGAATTCTTACACTTTTAGCAGTTAGAAAAAAAAAAATTAATAACCACGAAGATACAAAATTTAAATAATAAAAATAAAATAATTAGAACAAAAATGTAGGGTACATTATTTAATTTATATCTATAAACATTGCTAAAGAACATGTGATTCGGAGGGAAGTTCAATTATACTAAAATGTTTTGAGATGCCATAATGTTTGTGATTTTCATCAAAATTTGATCTTAACTCTTAAAAAAACTACTCAACTTTTGTTTTACCATTAAGTGAAACTTATAATAAAACTTAGTGCATATTTAGATAATTAAATGCGTACGTAACTAATTTTTGCATTGTCAGTATGAACCTGTTGCCGTTCCTTGATGTATCCAATGGTCCTACCATATCCAGAAATACTTTTTCGAAAGGCCTACTTGCCGTTGTAGTAATTACCATTGGTTGTTTAGTTATTTTGTTAGCACTTTTATTATGTTGGCACGATTGACACACTACTATGTACTGTTTTACAATTATTTTTTAGATTTTTCCAATGATGGTGTTGTTTGATTCGTTTGATGGATTTTGCTACACCCTGATGACCTCCCAGAGGGGCATCTTGAATTTTTTTCTTCTTCTGAATTTTTAACGTCTGAAACTATTAGAATCTCAATTTGTGAATTTTTGAATATATACCTAAGCATAGTTCGAATTTCTAGCCATTCTAAACCATCTAATCCGCTTATAATTATTGGTAATGCTAATTTGTATGTACTTTTTTCCGAACAGAACATCCGAAGGTTTTTAAGTGTGTTAAATACACTCTTATATGTAAACTTCTGCAAATGGTATTGCTTAGTAATTAGGTATGATATGATTTTTTTGAGTCTGATTTTACGCTTTTTTCCGTGATGACATGACTCAAATAGTTAACTTCGTGCTTCATAAACTCATATTTAGGAGGCTGTAGTTGAAGATTAAATTAAACTTATTATTGACTATTATAATGTCCAAATAAACGAAAGTTCTGTAGCCATTAATCTCTTGTAAAACCCTGTTCATCAACCTTTGAAAAATTACTGGCGTGCCCTTGAGCACAAAATTCATTCGATTAAACTCGAAGTGTCCTTTATCGGTACACGGTTTATTCCTTGTCATCTGGGTGTATTGGTATCTGATGATAGCTGCTCGTCATGTCTAAACAGGTAAAATATTTCGCCTTTTTTAACTGATCCAAGATGGATGTCACATTTGGCATGAGAAAAGCATCTACCATTGTAAGATTGTTAAGTTTTCTAAAGTCAACTACTACTCTGTACTTCTTAAATCCTGATGAGCCTGTTTTCTTAGGAACAATTAAAAGAGAGGCATTCTATGGACTCTTGCTCAGACTAATGATTCCATCTTGTGCAAGTTGTTCCATCTGCCTTTCAATTGTTGGTTTATAGGGAGTCTTTAATATATTGATAGAGACACACTGGGTGTTTTTATTTCATGCATCGTTGCACTTTATTTTGTTTCCTTTCAAGAAAAAAATATCCAAAAATTCGCTAAAACTTGTTCTATAGCTTCTCTTTCTTTCATGTTCATTTAATCGCTTCTTTAAATAATTGAACACAATTATATCTATTTTCTGGAACTTTGGTAGTTCGTATATTATTGATTGTTACTACATCGAAAATTTCGTGTGATAACTCAGATAGTTTTGGAATTATTAATGTCTGCGACTTTTCTATCGCGTTCATGACACTAAGGAGTATTTCTCGGTTTTTTATCAAATTCAATACATCGGCACATAGTATGTTCTTGTTTACCACTTGAGTATGAATAAGAACAGTTTGTTGTTTGGTTAAATGTTCGTTGTTAACTTTGACCGACAGATCATTTCGCTGCGTGGTGGTATCGTGATAATGATGTCCATTGCTGCTATCAGTTCTCCTTTGCTAACATCAATAATTATTTGGTTATTTTTAAAAAAAGGATTACTCAGTATACCATCACCCGCAATTGGGAAAGATGCGTCAAGTACTTGAAACAATGTTTCGTATTTTTTGCCGTCTATCGATACTGATAACATTGTACTGCCCATTGTATTTACTAACCGATCATCAATACCCAGTATATTGTATACCTTAACGTTTTAATAAATCTTCTTTGAGGAAATTTTATTTTATTAAATTGAGGTTGGTGCCCGTGTCTATTAGCAAGATTACAGACTCCTTGATGCATTGTGGTATGTTGTATGTAGCAGAGTGGTTTGTTAGTTTCATTTTAAATGTTAATACTTTTGATTTTGGGTCATTATTTTCAACTCGCGAACCGGACGAATGTTCACTTTGCCCGGTTCCTTGGCGTTTCCCGACGTTGATTATTTATTTTGGGTATCTTGATTTTCTCTTCTTTAATCTATGTTATTTTTCTTGTAGCATTCCGTGACAATATGTCCTGTTTTCCTGCAGTGTGTATACTTTGTTTGATTATTATTTGATTGGCCTGTGTCAATTCTATATTCACTTGTATTGTGATTAGGACTGCTATTCAACAAGCGTTGAGTTCCTTTGTTGAATTGGTATATTTTGTCCTCTTTGAGACTATCTTTTATCTTTTCCTCCAAAAATTGGAGGTTCTTTGCTTTTACCACTGGAAGACAGTAGATCTTCCACACATATGGTTAAAGTGGTCTCTTTTATATATTCGTGGACTGCTTTGGCATCTGTGGGAGACCTTTTGGTGGTGCTAACATTTCACAGTTCATATAAAAGTTCCTCTACTCTTGAAGAATATTTTTGAACAGTTTCCCCGATTTTGTGTTTGGTTGTGATTAATTCCATTTGTAAATAACTTGGTGTCCATTTTGCACAAAATGTCATTTCTAATAGGCTTTTCAATACTTCCCATGACTTCATCTCTCGGTGTTGTAACACTGCGAAAGATTTTCCCGCCAACTTAGTTAAAATTGCTTGAAGAAGAATATGACGACTATCGTCACTAACTGTTTTCGAAACAAAGTCATACGTACTTAAAAATGGGTACACCTCCTGTGGACATTCCCTGTTAAACTTGGGTATAAAACATACAGCTATTTCGAGGGATAATGCTGCTTTGTGTGCCATTTTTTTATCTGGATTTAAAATTGGAGTATTGTCTAAATTTTATAAAGAAATTATGGAACCTAGACTACTGGAACGACTACGTAAATTTTGCACTTGAGATTTCGTTATCCTACTAGAAATATCCGTCGCGTTTGATCAGGGTGGTATATAATTAGGGTTTGACTCAGTAGAATCAGAATTGTTATCGTTGCTACTTTTTGTACCTTTTGTAAGCTATAATTCGTTGTACAAAACAACAAATATATTTGTATTATTTTATTTATCTTTGAAGACCCTAAATGAATTTCATGCGCCAAGTATACCTTAATGCTGGATGTTATTAAGGTTAGAAAAACTGAATATTCAACTTGATACAGAATTTGTAAACCTGATAGCTTAATAATATTCGTCTACTGTTATTTATTTATACTACTGTATTATACACTATTTTAGGTGTCCTGAAGATATACCCATTTTTATATATTCGGAGATAATAAAAAAAATTAAATTTTTTTTTTAATATTACTAAAAGGGATAAGGTCAATAAGGACTAAAAACAAACAAACAATTTCAAACAATTGAATTCATTTTGTACATTTTGGTAAACAAATTTATAAAATAACATAATTTTGTTATTTTCGAAAAATCTGTCATTTCATTGAGTTCATTTTATGAAAATGTTGACATTTCAAATTTTTATTTTTATTAAATTTATAGTTTTACAATTTTTTAAAGTTCAGACATAAATGTATATAGTATATATTAGCCATGTTATATTTATTATTATTCCGATTAGGTACCTATGTAATTATGCAGTCGACTGTAACTCTATTCGCTAATTGATTATTATATTATGGGTAATTGAATGTACACTTTTAATTAAAATCAAGAATTCAATAAAAATAAAAAGTTGAAACGTCAACATTTTCAGAAAAATAAACTTTATAAGATCTTCAAATTTTTTCGAAAATAATAAAATAAACAGTTATTTTTTAAACGTTTTTAACAAAACAAAAATTTAATTCAAATATCAATATTTATAATCCTGTTTTCTGTGAGTAATGTATATACAAAAATTGAATTTGATTATCTTTATTATCTCTGCGAAGATTTTGAAATAGTTATGTTATCTTTGTTGGACAGTTGTGAGTATTTTATTTTATGTTATATTACCTATTTGATTATCATAACTAGTCATAAATATAGTATATTATACAATATATTGTATTTAAACACAAAATCATACACTAAATAAAGAATGTATAGTATTGTTATATAGTTGTGAATGATGATTACTACCAATGTATTAACTTAAAATTATAATTTAGTTAATACCTAAATTATATTTTGGACTCATTTATTGGACAAATTCTCAATGCAACAGTACCAGCTGTTTAATCTGAATAAAAACTATTAAAAACAGTGGTGTCATTGGGGGATCACAAAGGGTCACACCAGCGACCACATGTATAATTCTAGGGTCGTGAATGTATTGATTTTCAATCCCTGAAATTACTGTATTAATTAGAGTTTTCATTAGTAAAAAAAATTAAAATTGGTATGTTAGTATAAATAATTATTACGAAAAAAAACATGTTAGAAAATGATAAAATTAAAATTATATATTATCAATAATCTACAGATGAAAATACAATTAATTAAATTGTATAATTTACTATTTTGCTATTATAAATTAAATAAAAATAAATCTATTTTTTGATTCAAACTTTTCTGTATTATTTTTACTTATATAATATTTGATTATATTTTTTTGATTTAAGTTATCGAATATTTTAATTATTATAAGCATTAAAAAACAAAAACATATTTAAACAAAAATTGAAATAACCAACAAATTTATAAGTCATTACTATAAATACATTAAAAATAGAGAACAACAGTGAAATAGTTACAATTTTAAAATTCTGAATTTTGAATTTTAATTTTAAAAAATTATGTAATTTATAATGCATAGTTTTTAATAATATGTATCTATATAAGAAGAATTATATAGATTTATAATGTATCTTATATTGATAATGTATAATAATATGATTATTTGTTTTTATAATGTTGGAGGCGTGGGGCTACCATAAGTACCTTTAGTAATTTTTGCGACCCCTGACATTATGCCCGAATTATGCCACTGGTTAAAACTACCAGTATTTTGCTTCAGTCAAAAAATAAATCTTTTTGGTTTTATTTTGTTTTTAGTTGGTGAGTAAAAAGTCGTGTTTTGATATTCTAAAAGCCAATTTTGTTCAATTTTGATTAACGATTAATAAATAAATAATTTTGTAGTTTTATATATAAAAAACCTAAACAAAAATACACATTATCGGTTTTCGTTATTTTTGATTTTGTTTTGTTGAAATTTAATTAAAAATAATCGTAGCAACCTAAAATGTTCCCCGAATACGTATACTAGCGATTTTTGGTTATTCGTAGCCATTAATGAAATTCGCGAGCTTTTTAAGTTTTTTTTTAGTTTTATGAAGATAAAATTATTTTGGCTTCATAAGAATGCTCATCGCTAATCATGAAATTTACTGTAAGTTGTCAAAAACTGAGCATAAGGTAGTAATTTTTGTTTGTAAGCGTTAACGTTGCGACAAAAAAATCTCGGCATTCAAAATATTGAACTTCGCTCAGAATCGTAGCGTACAAGTAAAAATAAAATTGATTATTATTATATATGCTACCCCGCCGATTTCGATTTTGGCTTATTTTCTCAGATTTTCTAGTTTCCGTTGTTTTCAGCGTTGGAGTCTGTAGCCGCTCGCACAACTTGTCGGCGATAATATTATTATCGGCTTGTATTTTATAATTTATAATATTAGGTATACGTACAGACTGACTTTCGGTGAAAGGATGCGCCGGACGACCCACTTTCTCCACACGTGATCAGGTCGGCGGCGGCGGACGACCTGTTGCCCCGCGATGTTAACGGCACAGTCGCGCGACACGTGCGAAAGCATTCACGGCCATCAGTCATTCTGCCAGCCAGTCGGCCAGCTAGCCATTCAGCCAGCCAGGTACCTGTGACGGGGAAAACCATGAGACTGAGATGGTTCTCGTTACCGTTGGTCGTGTGCTTCATGCTGGTACTGTGCCTGGCCCTGCTGACCGTCAACTTTTTCGAGCTCAACTGGATACAGTACGAACACAACAAGTTCCATCACGGCCGGGAACCGTACGACGCGGTAGTGACCCCGCAGCGGTCTGCGCCGTACCGCCGGATCGCGGACGAACCGAAACGACCGTCGTACATAGTTCTGGCTAAAAACGTGAGAATCGCCAATTTTGTTCAAATAAAATATTATATCAGCACGAGTTACTAAAATTATTATTATTTTCTATAACCGTGGGTGAAGCTAGTTTGCTGTTCGTTGGAACTGAATAAAGTTTAAAGGCGACTTTAGTTACTTTAAACTTGACCAGCTTCAATAGTTTAATTTATAGATAACAATTCGATGCTTTGTATTATGCTTAATATTCTAGTCTAACGCGAAAAAGCGACTATAGGCAAATCGTTTTTTTTTTGATTTTCAGAATTTTTATTTCAAATTTGATGGTAATGTTGATGATTTTGCTATCAATGCAACATAATGTTAAGCAAAACGCGATAAACTAATGCAAGGTACTATCCCTGCACACAAATAAATTCTAAGTTTTTATAATTCAAGTTACTATTTTTACCTAAGAATTTGCTTACTCCGGTTATTCTACTAGTATATCTAGTTTATAATTAAAAAAAAAAAAAAAAAAAAAAGTTCCAAACTAAAATTATTGGTTTCTTTTTTTTATAACCAATAAAGTAATACTGATTTTAACGTTAATACATTTCTGTGACTTATCCAGTTTTGCTATATGTACAAAAATAATAATACATATAATTCAAATTAAAATATTTAGTGATTTAGTTCATTTATCATTAGTGTATTAACTAAAACAACAAAAAGAAAATTTGTTCGTGTGATAATTTTTAGTTTTAAAAAAACTTTACGATTTAAATATATAATTTTATTTATAAACTATAAAAATTCAAAATTTTATGATGCTACAATACTTTTTAGTCTACAGGTACCTATTTAAAAAAGCGTAAAATCTTTAAACTAGTTTTTCTCATTTGTGTTTTTAAGTTATTACACTTCCGTTATGATATTGCAATACCTATATTATCTTATTTGTTTGTGACTATATTGTCTGTATACTTTAATTATTATAATACTAAGATGTCAATTTAGTGGTACCTACATTTAGTAAAATAAACTCATGCAGTGTTCATTATTTTATTATATAAGTTAAACCACGTGCTCGAATTGGGAAAAACGCAGATCTCTTTCACGTTTTTTTTTTTAAGAGTCCTCTTATAGTAATTATTTCTGTTGAGACGAAATGACGGTACATATATTTTTATAAACAATGATATTTTCAACAAAAATGTATTACCAACTCAGATACAATATGTATTATATAATGGAAATAGTTTTCGCTAATAAATCAGTAATATTATCGCTCAGTATACGATTATGATAACAATCATTTTTATATTTTTTTGTATTGTACTTTTGCCCTGTGTGTTAATAAAATAATTTATTTAACTAAAATCTAAATACTGTTATGGTTTTAAACAAAAACAAGAAATGGTTAAAAAAAAAAAAAACATTAAATAAGAACAAATTTAATATTTATTTAAGATAATATACTTGTAGTACAGGTTCATAAAAAATATATATGCAATAACGTAGACTTCAGGAGTAACTATTATTGCATGGTTCTATTATTATTATTTTTTTTAATATACATATATAAATAATTACATTTCTTTTTCAACATTAGTGTTGGGGAAAGCCCTCACATGTTAGTTTGAGTTCAATAATGGAAAGGGACGTTTTTTATTTTTTAAGTTATACATTTTACAGTTCGAACTCTAAAATTAAGATTTCTGAATTACATTTTGTTGGTAATAGTCAAAAAATAAATTAAAAAATTAGACGTATTATTCGGTATTAAGGATACTAGTACCTATTGAACTGGGCAACAAGTGTTTTATGAATCTGTCAATATGTCGTATATGTAGTAATAATTCAATATATTGAAAAATGTCAACTATACTTTTTTGAATTAAAAACTATAGGTATCAACTTGCATAACAATTATTGCAAACGCTTGTAGGTAAACGTATTTAATGTATTAAAATAAAGAATACCTTAGTACAAGATAATGTAATATAAGTCACGACAACGAACAACAGTAGTGCTGATACAAAGAAGTACCTATATTATATAATGAATGCCGTCAATACTTTACGAAACCAATTTATTATCCTCTTTAAAAAAAAAAAATTAGAATACTAGAATAATAAATTTCAATACTTCTTTTATTATGAAAGAAACCAAGTTTCGTCAGCATACCTATCTATAAATAAACGATAATCTTTAATAAATATTATTGCGTTTATTATTTATATAGTATTCGGTATTTTTTCAAAATTTTGCAAAACTTCAAAAAAAAAAAAAAAAAAAATAATAATAGCTTTAAAATAATTTAATTATACTTTATATTTTATAACTCTAATATTCAAATATGAGTACTATGATATTTATTATTTCGGTTATTATTACTATGTCAAAATATTATAATGTATTAAAACTATTTGTATATATATAATGTTTTGGACTTTTTTTTCCGGATATTTTCCTCTGGAAATTTTTAGGAAATATATTAAGTAAGTACTTGAAATAATATAATTATGTAATATTCAATATTTACAGTGAAAAATCCAACTAAATTTATTGCAATATCAATACATCTACAACTTCATTATTCGTAACCAACATATTTCTGTGTATATTGAGGAAAATTGATCCATTTAATATGTTTTCTGAGTTTGTGTTTCTAAAACTATGAACTTATAATTTATAAACAATAAACAAAAAATTAAAATAGACTTTATTTATTTTAAACATTCATAGTTTATACGATCCAAGAGGAGAGAGGCCGAATCTGTCAATCTTCTTGGTTGTGCCACTGGTTCTAGGTAAATATTACTAGATATATCTTCGTTATCACAAGTTACTGTTCAGGATAGTTGAATGGTACCTTGAATATTTTTTGAATTTTAATCGAGTTTTCCTAAATTTTTTTTAAAGTTCCATTTATAAATATAAAATTAGTTGATGTTTATTTCACTTAAAATATGATTAAAATATTATCTATGAAATTTCTTTATAAATATCGGAAGTCATATATATATATATATATATATATATATATTTATTTATTTATTAATACGGACAAAAGTCCAATTCACAATATATTTGTATAGATAACAATAAAATATAACTTATATAAATTATAAATTTATATAATTTAAAATAATAAAATATAACATAATAAAAAAATGAAAAGATTAATATATCAAATAATAGTAATAATAATAATGATAATGATAATAATAATATTAATAATAATAATAATAAAAATACATTCAATATTTAATAAAATAATTAACTATTTCCCGAAGACATTAAAATATGTATGGGGTCATATGACGTAAACTTTTTAGATGAATGAGGAATATAAATAAATGATTGTTACGAGTGTGGTGGCTATTAACTTTGAAATTTAATTGACTTAATATAAATGAATATAGTGAGGTATAAAAGCATTTGAGAGCAAGTGGATCACGAAAATCGGAGCAGTTTCTTTTTATCATACCAAATACAGATAAAGCTTTATTTTTAATCGCTGATACATGATCATTGAATAATAGTTTGGAATCAAATAAAATCCCTAAATTTTTAAATAATGACGAACGATGTAGGTTAATGTCACATATATGATAATTAAAATGTAAGGGATTGTGCTTTTTGGAATAGGTAACAATTTGGCATTTATTAATATTTAATGAAAGACTATTTGAAATGCACCATTCGTTAAATGAAGCTAAATCACTTCGAAGGAGTTTAATATCATCGGGGGAAGTAATAGATTTGTAAATTTTTGCATCGTCGGCAAATAATAAAATGTTGGAGTGTGAAATGGATGATACAGCATCATTTATAAATAAATTAAAAAGGAGAGGGGAAAGGTGATCGCCTTGAGGGACACCAGAAATTACGTTTATCGGTGTCGATATAAAGTTTTTATATTTGAAAAATTGGATTCTTTGACTTAGGAATGAGTTAAACCATGATAATAGGGTTTAGAAACATACTAGTTTCTAGTTTTAATTGAAATTATTTTACTGAGATTTATTCTAGTATCGTCTCTATGAATTCGACCATTTTATTTATTTTTTTTGGTCCAGTGATTCACATATAGACTAATTTTATGTAAAATGCATGCTGATTTCTGGTTCCGTTTTCAGGCCGACGCCGGGCACTTGGTTCATGTCTTCGATGTGTTTAACATTTATGGTTACATTAGACGACCGTTCGACCAAAAGGTCAATTGGGACGTGATATGGGCTCACGAATATCCGTTCAAAACTTACGCCGACAAGATCACGTTCTCCAATTTAAAGCCACATCAAAAAGTAAGTGATCCCCATAATAATACCTACCTAGATATTACAAATGCCTAGGTAAATTAAAATACATAGGTATTTTCGAACGAGTAAATATTTTTGTAGATAAATATACGAACGTGTAAACAGTTTGATAATTTCCCGTATTTTTCCCAAATCCTTTTGCCTAGTTGTAATTTCCTGAAAGATAAATTTATTGAATATGGACGAAAAAACTAACGAAAATCAGATATATAAGTAGCGTTTAAACCCGATATTGGAGATTAAAATTTGGAAGTTAAAGCTCAATAATACATGAAAAAAAAAAAATTATTAAAATTAACAAAAACTCAGTTAATAATCTAAATAAGCATAGAAAACCTAAAGAAATTTTAATTTTGGATTTTCGTTTAAATTTAATTTCAAAATGTTTATAAAAAGGAAATAAATCTTTCGGTGATTTTTTAAATTTTACTACGTCTAGGTAAGTCTAATATTAGTGTTATTACCAAGTTTCAAGTCTACGTGAATTTATAACCGAATTACAAAGCAAAAACTCTCAAAAATTTAAATTCCTTTAAAGCTCAAAAGTTTTGGCAATGATACCGTAAGGAAGTAAATCAAAAAGGCAACAAAAAAGGTATCTTGTGATTTTTCGACAAAATCATTTTTATGGTAGTAGACGACATTCGTGTTTTTATAAAATAATGAAATCCTGAAATTGTACGTTTTTCTACGCTTTTTCTCACTTACGTGCTTTTATTTAAAAAATAGTGTCGATAATAAAAAGACGACATTTTAAAGTATAATCTAGACAACTTGAGCTTTAAGAAAGGTAAAAATCGTAAACACGTAAAAATCGAACTAATTTTACTAGGAAAAACCGTGCTCACAGACTAGAAGAAAAATAGAAAGAAATAAATAAAGAAAAAAAAAACAACTTAGTAATACCAATAGTTCCCTCGCTACACTCGGAATCTAATAGTGTTTTAAAAACTCAAAATAGCATTAAAAAAAAAAAATGCCTAAAAATCAAAATAAAATGTATGGAACAAATTTATAGTTGACGTAACTTCATATAATAGACCGATAGAAAAAATGGAAATGCTTACATTTTGTGTGAAATGTTTTAAACTTGTGTATTTGTAAACAATTTTTGAAATTTTGAAATTTATGTTTACTGAATAATAATAATTTATATGAATAATAATTTTTTTTCACTACTTTAAGTATACCATTGACCATCGGGAAATCGATATTCGAGCATAATGGAATTCCGGAAATTTTATTCATGTAAAAGGTCGGGAACTTGCAACGATATAAAGAAAGTAACATACTAAAATACATTTAAACATCGTTTACTATTTTTGGACAAATTTCGTGACTAGACGTAATACATCGGTAAATACGAATAAAATATTTACTCGTGATAATGAAATAACGGGACCGTTTGAACATTTATTTGAAAGCGAATATTTTCACGTTGACAGTAATTTTCATTTTTTCTCCAAAATTATATTATTTACAAGCGTTGATAGATTTTTTTTTGGAAATCATTTTGGTACCTATACCTATCTAAATGCTTTTATCTAAACTAAAATATGTACATGTATTCTTTAAAGGTCAATCATTTTCCCGGTATAGGTTTTATAACCAATAAAATCGACTTGGCCACATCGAAAATAAGCTACGTACCGCCGGCTTTCAGCATGCCGTCAGAAAAAGCAAAATTTTTCGCATTCGTAAGTTATAATAATAATTGATTAATTTATTTACTTGTTGGGCTTATTTCGCTTGTTTATCACTACAATATATTCAACAACTTTTTAATAACCATAATTATAGCAGTAATTATATCTCATATTATACCTTGTATAATTTTATTTAAAATTTAATTTAATTAAATGCCGTCTAAACTCTACACCATGTAATAGTTATTATTATTATTATAAATATTATGCGTACTTTCTATAGTGTGTAATTGGTTTTATAATAAACTTTATTTAATATTTTGAGTTTTTAACCCTCAACCTGGAGCCCGGGGATAAGAGAGTTCACGATACCCAGCACAATAATAACTTAGTGCTCCGGGAGCATTATTTGCTCTCCTGAGATAATGAGTAAATTGATAACATAATAAAGTATGAAGGAAAATATATGGACTCACTATTGACCAAGCCACGGGAAACTGACTAAGGATGTTTGACACAGAGCTGTACGGTGGAACTGGTACCATTGACAAATAACAATTACAATAAGCTCCTATACGGAATCTTCTCTTTATACTGGACAAAGGGTACAATGGTTAAATAAGGCCACGTAATGGGGTGAGGGAAAAGCGAAATAATTGTGGCAGCAATGAAACGTGTGCCCCGAAAACGATGCAGGCAAATATGGTCAAATTTTGGGAGTTGTAAACTGGAATGAGGTATAGTTTGAGATACAGATAAAGTGGATACATGGTGACGAAGCATAATTATAGCGGCCAAAACTCATAGAGAGTAAGTATGCCTGCAGTAGAAAAAAATACGACTTTCCATCACATACATTATTTTAAATATTTATATATTCAAAAAAATTAGGTTATTCAGTTTTAAATTAAAATACACCTATTATTAGCTAATTATTATAATAATATAATCTCGAATTGTTTTCGTAATTGCCGTGTCGAATAAAATACGAAATAATTTATAATCCTACATATTCTTATGTTGTATTGTTCAAGGCCGAAAAATATCCTCACAAACGGTTCGTTCAAAAGCAAAATAATCACAGAGGCATTAAAATCAAAACGTTGAAAGAATTAGACTTGAACTCGACTGGAACGTTTATCCAAGAATATATCGACAACCCTTTACTGATAGACGGATACAAATTCGATATTGGAGTGTATACAATCATCACGTCGATAGATCCTCTTAGAGTTTACATGTACAACGGAGACATTTTATTTAGGTATTTATATATATTTAGGTTATATATTGTGTTATTTAAAATATTAATGTATACCTATACGGGGTTTGTACGTATTACGTTAGAATTGCTACTATAATTTTTTTTAAACGACTATTTATAATTATATATGTATGTAGGTAGGTATGTATGGTTTTGTTTGTTTTTTTTTTCTGTTAAATACAGATAATGTATATAATTGGTATTTAGGTACATTTAAAAAATAGACAGATGACAGCACAAACTTCAATAGCAAAATATAAAACTGATTCCGAGTAGAACTTTGTCAAACATTTTTCATATTCTGAATGAAGCGGGAAATGTATAAGTTGTACAATAATATTTATTTTTTATTTTATTTTAAAACCGGAAAAAAATTAGGATAAACGTAGGGATGAAAATGGACAAATTAATATTTACGACGGAACCGTTTCATAATTTTACATTTTTCCAGCTTGTTTTCTCCTAGAAATATTGTTTAAATCAAAAAATGCCGGGAGACATTTTTTTTTTGAACTTCGGATCTAAATGCTCACGGAGAAAGTCGTTTTCACAAAAACTAGGAACACCGAAAAAGATTAAAAATGAAAAACGAACAAATTTACGGGATTTCAATTATTAATATTTTTATTATTACTAATCAATATTTTCATTTTTTTCGCTTTATGTTACCAGAAATATTACTCCAATAAAAAAACAACAAGAGATCATTGTTATTACATTTTTAATCTAGTTGTTTAATAAGAAAGTCATTTTCGATTTTCTGTGTAGTTTTTTTAACAATTGAATAAAACCGGAAAAAAACGTAAACAAATGTTTAAAAAAAAAAAAGAATAATTTACGAAAATTGAAAATGCTTTTATTATTTTCAATTTTGTTTTTTTCTTGTGATTCAATTAAAAATATTCGCAGAGTCTGAAATTTGGACTGAAAACTTTGCTTTTTCCGGCGTGGTAAATGTTCAAAATATTTGAGCTATTTATAGACATTTTAATATTTTACTGAGCAAAACAACATAATGTCTTATAAATAGAACAAATAAAAAATTCAAACATTTCAATTATTATATAACATATTTTTATTATTATTTCTGATTTTCCTGAATGGAGTAAGTAATCTTCATACTATAGATTTCTTTCTCCAACAATAGTTGGTGTATTGAAATGGTTATTTTTAGATTATCTTTAATAAATTGAAAAAATTATCAATTTATTTTTTTATTTTTTTAATTTCTGAGTTATTTTTGCAACAATGAAAGAAACCTGACTTAAACTCTGTTTAAATTTGTTTTTCATTGGCAATGATTTATTGTTGCTTACAGATATAAATTGAATTATTTTATTTATCCTCCCTTCTAATTTTAATTCTAAAACAATGGCACATAGAAATTTTTATATGCAATAATAATGTGAATAACAAATTTTAAATTCAAAATTAATTTAATATAATAATCATAAATTGTAAAGAAATAACGAAATTTATTAGTTTTATTTTATTTAGATAGGTAGGTATTTTATTACATAAAATAATATGCAACAAATTATAAATTAATAAAATTATAATATTATACGTATTAAGGTTAATTATTAAAAAAAAAAAAAACAACCTAAACAATTATATTCTTGACATATCTATATAAATATATGAGGATCTTGGTGCAATAAACAGACGAATTGATTTGTCTTCAAAAATATACTTTTTGACGGTAGTAAAAATTCCCGAAAAGTATAACGAATCCAATAGATATAAGTATTTAATGGAAATTTTCGCGGTTAACTTATTTTAGATCAGTTTTGGTACAATAATAAAAAAACAATACATATTAAATCATCCAAGACCTATGTTTCCGAAAAAAATTTGGTGCATTGATTAGCTGGAACAAAAAGAGGTTTTTGCTCCAGAACAATTTCAAAAATTCACGTGTGGAGTTATCCGCAGGGATAACTTCATAGAATTAGAGCTACTCCAAGGTCTTTAATATAGTTACTAAATAATTATATTTATATTTATTTATTATAAATTAATAAACTAAACCACATAAGTCAGAAACTGTAATAAAATCAACATCAAAATTGTCTCTAAAATATAAATATGAGTATAATATAGGCAACTATTTCATGATATGACAATATTATATTTTATCTATATAAATAATACTGAAAGCTTATTTAAAAATAAATTATAGAACTATTGAATACAGATATATAAATTAAATGTCAGGCTCTTTGTGCTTATGACTGGAGGTAATATTATTATATATGTTTACTTTTATAATTTATTCATTAATACAATAAAATATATACATAAATTGTATAGTAGATAACATACAAGTTTATAAATCACAGTATTACAGTAATGAAAAAGCTTAAATAAAATATATTCACTTTATCTTGTATGTATATTATAATATATTATAATATATTTTACATATAAAATATAACAATAATATCATACCCTGTTTATTTATATTATATTATATAGTATAATAATAAAAAAAAATAAATACTTTATTAGAATACAAAAAAATTAAAAAAAAAAAAAAAAATAGTAAATCAATATTGTAATATTTATAATAACATATCTAATCAGAATATAATATAATATAGTTATGAAAATAATAATATTAATACAAATTGTAACTTAAATTTATACACTGTGTAGTGTGTATGGTGTGTTTAAAAACTAGCATACATTTTGCAATAAATAATACAATATGGAATGATAAAAAAAAAAAAAAAAATAGATCAAACGTTAAATTATTTTTTTTTATTTTTTTTTAGGACTTTTTGTATACTTATGCTAACACATTTTAATTTCACAAAATAACATATCCGTACTTATAATAATATTATTCAGGAGTTCCATTTGAAAGGCCATTGGCCTGACGTATAGTGGAAAGAGGTAAATTGTAGGCCTTATAAAAAGTTTGAACTCCCATTTTAAGAAACTAAAAAGTAGCCCTTGATACTATTATCTTGCGAATCACTTTCCATCTACGTTTTGATGTTTACACTCATCATCATATATGATTTGAATGGACTTCTAGATTTTGCCCGGAAAAATATGAACCGTTCGACCCGAACAACATTGACAAATACGTAATAGGTGATGATTATTTGCCCACGTGGAAAGTACCCTCTTTGAAAAAATATTACGTTCATCAAAACGCTACGATGAAAGCGTCAGTCGAATCACACTTGAAAACGTTAGGTGAATATTAAAATAATAATAATACGCCATCAATATTCTACGAGAATTTAAAAATCCACATTATTATTATACCCGTAATGATCATAGACATAATATAGTATATTAGATTGTAACATGCTGCAGGAAAAGACGCCACGAAAATATGGAAACAGTTAGAGGACGCCATACGGGTCGTGTGTTTGGAAAAAGAATGGAAGATCATAAATCTGATGAAAAATTACAAGTCGAAAACGAATTTTTTCGAAATGGCACGATTCGATTTTGTCGTGGACGATAATCTAAATGTATACATAATGGAGGTGAGATTATACAAGTATTATTTGATACAAATATTGTTGATAATCATTACGGATTATTTTAAGATGATGCCATACCCGTATGTAATGTCTCCATCTTACTAACTCACGACATTACGCTATGTTATATCTAAACCTACTTGAAATATGAATTGTGACGTTCAGGTTGAAATTAGAGTTTAAATACAAATGACAAACTTTAAAGACGAGGATATTTCTGAGAATTAACGTATTTTTTTCTGAAAAGTTATCATACTATTAAAAGTTACAGCTATTTAAATAAAAACAAAAACTAATATAACTGGATTTTTTTTTATGTACAACAATTTTTTAGAAACAAGTTATGCAGTACAGCCTTCGAAATATTCTTCTTCAAATTAAATTGTGTTATTTGATTTTAAACTCTAATTTCATCCTAAACGTTACAAATAACGTAATTTTGTTATAAATTAGTAAAAGCCCGTAAATTAGACTGAGACAATAAATGTATGTATAGCACTCTTTATACGTTTCAAATGAGTTACTTAATTTGGTTTTTTTTTCAGGTCAACATGTCGCCGAATTTATCGTCAGCTCATTACCCGCAAAACCGTTTGATTTACGAACAAGTACTGTTCAATTTGTTCGCTATTGTCGGACTAACTCATTTCGAACGGTTAGATTACAAATATTACTCTTATTATAATTTAAATATTATAAATTGGTATTAATATCTATATTACTATAATCATAAATATTATAAATTATAATACCTATACTAGCAGTACTATAATATATTAAACAATTGAACGCAGCAATAAGTATACACAAATCGTAACTTTTAGAAACAACAACATTTTAACGTATTATAATTATACCTATTTTTTATTAGGAAAAGTATAGTATAGGAAAAAAGAAGTAAGCAAATTGCTTCGTAATCCAACGAGTTATTAATTATGCTATACCTATAAATACATTTTTTTTTATTTTATAAAATTATAATTTAATATTCGATAAAATATTTAATGTTTAAATTTATGTACCCATGAATTTAGAGAATATAAGGATAAATTACGTGCTTGAGCATTTAATTATTGAGCATGTAATTCTCAATCTTTTGGAGTTGCGGCCCCCATATCTCGTCAAGACTTATTATTATAGGGATTATTAAAAATATGTTTGATATTATGATTAGTTATCAATGATTATAACTATTCTTATTATTATAAATCTAAAATAACGTTACAAATAATATAATAGGTACAATGTTATTATTGTACAAATTTACAATAATACAGTTAATAATCTACGGTTTTTAACATAAACATAATCAAAGGTGATAAAAAACTAAAATAATTAAAACAAAATTATGTTACATAAGTTGGGATCCTAAATAATTTGTTTTGTTAGGGACCCCGTCGTTGAGAAATACTGAACTAGTGGAATTTTCTAGAAACGCAACACATATTACATTGGATGTAATCAAGAGTAGAAAATTACAGTGGGAATTGACGCGCTTGAGGCTTAATGAAGACAGAAACCACATTTAGTTTTTATAATATAGGAATTCGAGAACCAGAAAGAAAATACTGGGAATTAAGAGCAGCTGATGGGGAGGCTGGATGGATGTGAGGCGAGTGATGATCCTAGTGGACGAAAATCCCGAGGAGAGGTCTAAGAAAATATTTTCGAGAACGTATTATTTATTATTTTTATTTCTTTTATCATTTTTCATTTCAATTGTGTGAGCTGAAGAAATACTGTATTCCGTAGTGGAAATGTTTTTAAAGAAAAACATACCTGTATAAACTATATTTACTTTTTATTTTAATGCAATCATTGTATTATAATCAGGTGAACTCATGGGTATTAATATTTATTGCGAGGCACACTTAAGAATAAATGCATACGTAGTATTATTATTTTTTATTATTATCATATATTCGTATAGGTAATATATAGAGTAGGGGTTACGATTTCACGTGTACCTAAATACACGGGTACACGTGTAATTATGAAACCCGTGTATTTAAAAGTGCACGTATATTTAATAATTGTCATGTATATTATGTATGTTCCAGTACTTTTTATATTCCAATATTTAGTTTTAAAAAATAAATGCTGGACACTGAAGACGAGTGGGCCACTGTTGCAGGTATTATTAAATACACGGACAGTAATAAATATACGGATTAATGCACGTGTATTTAAATAACCGTCTACCCGTGTATCCGTTTACATTTTAAATAACCGTAGGAAATTTTAAGCCCTAATACAGAGCGTATCTTCAAAGTTTGGCCCTGTGTAATATTATTATACGAATAACAAAATTAATATTATATTAGATATAGTTTGTAAAAATAGTAATAATATGTATCCGTGTTATTTAAATTAAAATCAAATCGGGTAGGAAAATAAAAAAAAATTGCATATATATTGTTATATAGACGGAACACTTCGAGTGATAAAATATTAAAACAATTATGGATTAACATTAGCCTAACCTACTGATTATAAGTTATTAAATTATCAACAAAAATAAATAAATATAAAAAATACTAAATGGGTCTTAATAATCGAATGAGGTTAAAAATTAAAACAAAATAATTATAATAATAATTTAATTTAAAAACAATTTTTCGATGAGTATAATAATTATATAACAATATAGTTATACAAATTATTCAATTTTTTGACCCGTATAATTCAACTATATTATTTGGTATCACGCTTTTTATTATTTTTAATAAATTTAGTAAAGACGACAGCGTTAAAATGGCCGTATCTGGGAAAAATATCGTAGCGTATCCGAAAAAGTGTGCCGAAATGAACTGCGATTCGTGTGATAATTCTGATGACTGTCTGCTATGCACACCGTGTATGAACACAAATATGATCGTTCAACTAACAAACGCCTACCGAGAACATATCGACCGCCACGATTGCAAACGAGTATTCCCGCCAAAATTTGTAAGTATTATAACACTATATATTTTTAGTTATATAATTGAGTATTTTTGTTTTTAATGAGGTTTTCTGTGTCCGAATGGACCCCATGTAGAGTAACACTAATGCTTATTGTGTATATCTACTAGAAAATAAATAATAAACAAATAATTGAATTAGTAGATTTTGTAACAGAACATTTCGTTTTATGTAGAAAATACTACTGACGACATTACTGGTGGGGGGAGAGAGATAACTGGGTAATGTCCATGATATAAGGCGAAGGTTTTTATCAATCTGCTCGTGGAAAGTTTTTAATAGACAAAGAATGGACACATAGTGAATATTCACTTAAATATATTCCGCTAAATAATTGTGACATCAACACCCATCAGCGTAGACATCTAATCCTTTCTTGTTTTTAAATAACACAGATGCCTTTTGTTGACAACCATTGAATTAGCTTTCGATATTTGATATAAAATCTCGACCCTCGAGGAAATATAGTTCAGAAGATACACAAACTCGGGGGAATCTTTTAACTCGAAATTTAATTCCCATTGTATACATCACGTCCTAATATGTTCATAGATGTATACGGTGTTCAAGTTTAAATCAGTGAAATTAATACTAGAAACTCTTATAATATAATATAGAAAATCCATCGCACGAAAATTAGCTTTACAAACAAACGCATAATATTATAATATTGGCGTGTAATATTTAGATTTCAATTTTCAATTTATAAAAATTTAAGCCAACAAACATATTTATGAATTACATGTTAAGGGAGCTGATTCAATAGTTTCAAATCTTGGAATCATTATGATATTATACATTTAAAAAAAATATTGACTGTCTAATTTTTGAAGATTAATTTCATTCAAAATGTCGTAATTATTTCGCTTTCGCATATACACAGCAATTATAGATACCTATATAATGGCTAGGTATGTTTGTATTAGATTCTATGATCAATAACGTTATTATAATAAATTTCTAGTTTTTGATAAACAAGTAATTATTATTATTATAATATAGGTATATTATAAAACCGTATATTAAAAAAAAAAAAATGTTTTTCTTCTTTCATGTTATAAATACATTTTTCAATGAAAATGATTACGACATCAGTGATGGTTACTAATGAAAAAAAAAAAATATATGCTACGTAGATTATCGAAATGCACCAGTTAGCTATCTAGCTATCTATATGGCTTATAGAGAACTATAATAGATAAATGCCTGAAAAACACCTACTAAATTGTTGTTAAATTACTATATTTCAGAATCCGAATGACATTTTGAACAGTTCCATGGACCTCAAAGATCATTATAGTTTGAACACGCGTTTGATGTATAAATGGTTCAGAGGAAAATGTATCGCGGACATGGAATGGTGTTAATGTATGAAAAAAAGTCCCATTATAAGTAATTATTTGTACTGAAGCTAGTATGTTTGAACATTATTATTCATGTCAAACTATCAAAATCAAAGCCATATTACTGTATAAAATTGTTTACTGTGTATACCTATATTTTTGGTCTTAAGAAAGTGGGGCGAAAGTCGATTTTTTATAGTATTCCATACAATATAAACTCGCACACTCATTTTGAAAGTACATCAATAAAAAACATAACCCATGCAGTTTAAATAAAAAAAAAAAATTAAATTACAGCTACTATTTATTATTTAGCACTCCGTCTTCGAGACCAAAAATAAAATATTGTTTGTTTTTATTTTTAAAAAATTATATTATTATTATTATTATTATTATTATTATTATTATTATTATTATTATTATTATTATTAATACGAATAATCAAAAACTAATTTATTATTTTCAAAATCGTGTTGTTTTTAATTCTTAAAACTATCAGGTACACAATATCATACTCGTAACCACTAACTGCCCGAGTCGATATGTGCATAAATATACAAATTATAAATTAAAATACTAAAATATTCTAAAAATTAAAAATACCAGTAACATTATGCAAAAAAAAAAAAAAAAAAATTAACTATACTGATAGGTAATTGGGGGTGTAAAGTGGATATAGGATATTCTTCGGGCACAGTGGATTGACCCAAAGGAAATACTAGTAGGTTTTGAGCAAGTTGGTATTTTCTTCGGCATTAAGGTTGAGGTTGTTGTATCGCTACAGCTGACGAAATGGTTTTTGGCGTCTGCTGGATAGTTATCCTTTGATTGATGTTGTTGGTTGAATAAATCACTTTGTATTCTTTATCAGACTCCATATATTTTCCAACCCTATTAAAAATATGAAAATTAAATTAAACGAGTGACAAAAAAAAACCGGACAATCTGTACACCGTGACTATAGTATATAGTTTAAATTATGAAATAAACAATTTCGAATGGAGCTCGGTTATAATTATGTTATAATGTATACTTGGTAGTGTATCGGTTTTTTCATTTTACAAATCATCCAATAATCAACTAAATTAAAACCGATTACATAGTGTATTGGATATTACATTGAATATTTAATATTTGTAAAATAAACGATCAAGGTAACGTAGTAGGTTCAATTATCAGTTCTATCAAAAATAACATTTAGTAAACAATATTGCCACTTAAGTGCATTACAAATTAATTCACAATATCAATCACGAGTGTCAGCCACTTAAAGCTACTGTGGCGGTCAAGTCGGAGAGTCATTAGAGTGATGGACCATGCAAGGCATAAAAGCGTTACACGCGCCAATTATTAACGACTTCTCTGGGTTTGCCCGTCAGAAAAACTTACCTTTTGCTCACTCAGTCTCAACTTTCTTACATTCACCCAAACCTATACAACAGTTGCAGATACCGTAGGTGGGTATTTGGTTATTCCACACCTCCTACAAACTAATAGTTTTACTCTGTATTGTTGGTCACTTTGATTTGACCATATATCCAAATGTGTATACGTTTTTTCGCTCTCACCACACTCATAACCATATACAACACATTGCCACTGACTGGTTTAATTACACGAGTTCAACATGTCGCGACTCGTGATCGCCCACCAGGACTAAGAGCTGTCTGTATATTTGTGAAGTAGATATTGAATATACTGAATAGTTTAATATTATACTTAAAGATATTCACGTCTATTATTATGAAAACAAACTCAAAAGTGTACGTACTCTTTTTTCTTGTTTTTCATGTAAACCTGTTTATCTCTGCACATTCGCTCGCATATCGGCTATACAATATACGTTGTCGAACAATTCGTTACACTTCGAGCTCACAGGTCGTCACTTATTTAATATCCGACGGCTTTATATAGCCAAATACTTACCTAAACATTACAGTGGTTTTGTTGACGAAATGTTAGAGGACCCATGTCTATTTATAATTTAAATAAGCCAAGTAGTGTTTATGAAGTAGCGATTCATCGAGACTTACACATCCTTATATTTTGCTCCTTACATTCGAGCAGCTAACTTTAAACAGAATATCCGAGATAAGTAATAACTATTATATTTTTGTAATAGAATATTAATTAAAATAAATAGGTAAAAAGAAATGATAGATCTCCTACAATAGGTACTATCGTCAACAAATACAATACGCATTTATGTCAACACAATATATACCACAATTAAAATCACGTCATATAGAACCATTCTAATAATCTAGTATACAAGGCGATTCATATTTTCGAGTCAGTTATGGATAAATACGGTAGGGATATTATATTTGACAGCAATGTAATTAGAACTTCTAATGCCAATGGTAAAATATTCTAGATTAACTAAATCTGGAACTTAGTACAATTCTAGTTGAGGCCCAATTTACACAGTTTGGAGCAAAAAAAAATAAATACGTGTTTTTTTACATCTACCCGTCCTACACTCATGTTACTTGCATAATCAAAACAATATTCAAAGCCTGTTGTTTTTATTTACCTGCTCGTCTACTGAAAAACTAAATGTGATGGGTTCTTGGTTCATTACCCGTCATGCCACTCTATATGTCACTGACATTCGATAATACGGAAATTGTCACATCATCGATGTGACAATTTGTGTGATCCCGTTACCTTTGTTAACGCATTTACAACATCCGTATTCATTCTCATTTTGTTTAGATAAGTAATAAAACGTCGTATCGATACTATATTAATAATACTAACATTAAATAAGAACACCATTACAATATAAACACGCAGTAATAAATCGACTCGTCACTATAATATTTTATCGCAATACCTATGTATTGCGATATAGTTAAATACGGCTATACCTGAACATCATATCAGACATCAGTACATCATATATGTATCCCCTAAATCCCTTTTTTATTATTATTTTTCTTTATATTCTACTACAATATAATAATATTAACATTTTAAATTTAATATTTTAATAATTTATAGGAAGAAAATATAAAACAAAAATAGGTACCTATATATATTATATATATTATATTCTAAATGTTTATATTATATACTGACAAGTTACGTGAGTGTGTAACATACACTCGATATTTGGTGGCAGTGTACAAGTCGCATACCTATTATTATTTTATACGGATAGGATATTGAAAAATATCGTATTTCAGTGTTTGCTACCGGAAACGTAATAACTTATAAGAAATAAAATGTTCCTATATATGAAAATCACGTGTATAAAATCGATATTATGATGTATGATTAAAAATAAGTAATATCGACCGTTTCCGGTCAATAGAATCGGAAATGGAAACAGTCATATACTACCTACACGTATCTAATATATATTGTAATTTTATATTTTTCGTTTCATAAACGTTTTTAATAAATACTAAACGAATGAAAAAAAACAAACAGAGCAACGTATTTATAAAGGAGTTTAAACTTCCGTCCTCGAATTATTCTTATAACGTTTGTATTCATCGTTTAATAATCTCACCGGATCTTCAATATAAACAGTTCATGCCGATTTCGCCTTCCCCCACGTACAGATGCAAAATTCTAATACTGTTCGATATATATAATCAAAAAAAGACGCATCGTCGTAATATTATTATGTTATAAACATTTCATATTTTATTACGTCGAACTAAATATCTAAAAGAAAAACTTTATATTTCAATAATAGTTACAATACTTTTCGCAATTATTCCAAACTGGAGTACCTACTCCAGTAATAGAGGTATATTTGCCATGTACCATATATTGGAGGGAAACAGAGTCTTCCTTCTTAATAAAGGTAAAATTATTAGTCTCCTTTAGATTATATCTTTGAAGTACGGAGGAGACGCTTTAGTTATTGTTACTGGTGTATTTTTAAAACTTCGAATTAAATTGTTTTTTTTCCAACTTTACTATTGTATACGAATTTTTGCTACCACCGTTACTGTCCTCGGTTATCTTCTCGGTTCTAAATTTTGTCTTCTTAATCTGTCACTCCCAGTGTTTCCAGATATTTCCTTATTCCGTCTATCCAGTACTTCCTAGGTCTTCTTTTGGGTTTTTTCTCCTTTGACTGCTATTCGATTACTGCTCTTAGACTTAAGGTTTATGCTTTTCGTAATACAGACTAAACCATTGGAGTCTTTGGCTTTTAATGTAATTTTGCAATGTTGTTACTTGGGTGACTTCTCTTAACCCTCTACTATTCCTACTTCGCCATTAAATTCACTGTCAAAGACCGGATCACATATCTTCCTCGGTATTTTATTTTCAAAACTTAACAATTTCTTTTATATTTTTAGGCTTATAGGCCATAGTTCACACCCATAAGCCACCATTGGACTTATTATGCTAATGTATAGTCTAATTTTTGTCCCTCTAAAGAACAACTGAACGACTTGGATTTGCAATATTTATGTAGTGGAAAATATATCTTATCTGCTTTGTGTATGCAGCTTATGATTTTAATACTCCAGTTGTTGGAAGTTATAGTCGAACCAACATACTTGAGCTGTTAGACATTTTCGAAGGCATAACCTCTAACTTCCATATTGTTTTCCTTGTTGGATAGTAATTCCATCACCTTATTATTTTTCTTGGTTTAATCTCAGGCCTATTGATTCAGCCTTCTCTATAAGTGGTTTTATATTTTGTGTTAAATATTACTTTCTTGATATCTCCTATCAGGTTAAGGTCATCTGCAAAATCGAATATATTAATCTGTACGTCACTAATACTACTTATAGTGTTCACTAGTTATAAAAATCAACCGCTTGTAGTGATCAGAAATGCAAGAAACGGAACAAACAGCTGTAATTAGTGCATTTTTCGCCGCTTACTGTGTTTGAGTTTTCGGTTATAGTGATTAATTAAAGTCATATCAGAAATAGAAATAATACAATAATACACACAAGGAAGAGAATCCTGATGATTATAGGTTTATGAATCTAATTTAATCTACGTTGTAATGTAGGTAATGATAGTTAACGACGATTATAGTTTATGAACCTAATCTAATCTAGGTACATAGTAATTTAGGTAATGTTTTATTTATGAAACCGTGATATGGGCCCAGACTACTTTGCTATGTTCAACAACTTAGAATACATTATGACAGCCTCTATACTAAATAAACAAGCACACATCACTAATTTTTTTGAAACAACATAAAACGTATGTATATTGTATGTATTATATATACTTATGTAAAATTAAATTTTATTATTATTATTGTTAACATATTATGTTTCCGTTATTTTTTACCTGTTTTTTGAGTTTCCGCTTATAATGATTTCCAGTTAAAGTGATCAAAATATTATCGGGAAAATGTGATCACTATAAGCGGTGACCACTGTAGTTCCTAAATTATTATCTTAGACACAACATATTGTCTTTTCCAAAGTTACATTGAATAATAGCGGTGTTAGCGCGTCCACTTGTTTTAGGCATGTTATTACTTTAAAATCTTCAGATAGGATTTGGTTCACTCTCACTTGGTAAAATGTGTCGTTCATGCACATTTTTAAAAAGTTGAGAAGCTTTTTAGGAAAACCAAATTCATACATGATATAACATAGGCTATCGCGATAAATGTTATTATATGTCTTTTTAATGTCAACAAAGACTTGCAACATGTTTTATTTAAACTCAATATATTTTTTTTTTTATCGATTGTCCAACGACTACAAGTAGATCGATTGTCGATTTTCCTTTACAGAAGCCACCTTGATACTCTCTTATGTACTTTCCTACTAGTGGTTCAAAATGTCTTAAGAGGATTTTCGAGAACACTTTATATGCAGTATTTAGTAATATTATTTTTGCGTAATTTGTAGAGCTTATTACTTTTCTTATACACTTATATTGCTCTATTCCACTCTTGTAGTAAATCTTATCTCTCCCATATCTACTGCACATTTCATGGATTATTTTATGTACTTCTTCTCTTCCATAGTTTAGCAATTTTGCTGGAATCCTGTCTGCTTCCGGGATCTCCAGTTTTTTTAGGCTATTGATGGCTCTTGTGATTTCACTAATCTTCATATTATTTATATTTTGTCTAACCAAGAGGCCGTACCATTGAGGTATTGTGGTTATTGGTGATTCTGGTAGTTCACCGTTTAGTGAATTCTTGAAAGATTGACGCCATCTAGTTGTCTTCTCATGGATTTAAATTAGGATTAAATTAGATTTGTCGTCCTTGACTGCTGTCAAACTTTTATTGAAAATTTTGTACTTCTTGATCTTTGTGAAAACTGTCTTATCTTCGCCTGTGAGTGGTCTTGATCAGTACTGCGTATGAGATCGTTGACATTTATTTTTTTTTTGTATGATACTTTTGTACTTTTCCGTTCAAATTTGAAAGCCTCTTTTTTTGCCTGTGTTTATGATCTGAGGTATTGAAGTAATGCCGTTTTCGTTAGAAAATTGTTTACCTTGATTTTTTTTGCTCTCCAAGCATATTTTTGGCAGCATTTAAAATGATGTCAGAAATTGCACTCCAATTTACTAAGGCATTGATTAATCGCTTTATTGACAGTTTTTTTAACCTTTTGAGAATACATCCTATTGTTCTCTCCGCTTTTAATATTTTCTGGATTGACTTTTGGTATTTTTCTTCTGTTCATGTATTCCATTTTTCAATTTAAGTCTGACCCTGGCGTTGACCAGGAAATGATCTGTATCGCAGTCTGTTCTCCGATAGCTTCGTACATTGGCGATAATAAATCTGAATCTAATTGCAATAAGTACACGTTGTCGATTTGGTTCATTGTTCGTCTATCAGGACACTTCCAAAAGTATTTATGAATACTTTTATGTGTTAATGTTGTATTGCTGATAGTCATTCTCCTGGTTGCAGCGAAATTGAAATCTCAGTTCTTTATTACTTATTTCATGTGCACTCTATGTTAAAATTATAGGCAAAATATCAGTCTTTCTACTTATTTTTAAATTATAATCTCGCACTATGATTTTCACTATGTTTCTCGGTTCGTTGTCATTAATTCTTGATATTTCGTCATAAAAATCATCCTTATCTAAAATATCGTTATTTTTAGTAGGTACATGTGAATTAATAGTGAAAAGTTTCATGAGGTTTTTTTTTAGCGTTATTTTACATACGCTTTCGAAGAATAGGTTAAAAATGTGAACCCGGTCTATCTCACCTCTTGCAGTGCCACCACGCTTAAATTGTATTCTTTTAGTAGAGATTTGTATACACTATTTGGAGTTTATTAAAAATAAATTCTTTAATACTTATTGAGTCCAATACACAACTAGATTTTGTTTTACATAGGTATTTTTGTTTACTGAGGGGGAATCGTGAAGTTAGTTTTTAAACCCTATTAGTATAATATGTTTATAAACAAATATATGTGTAGGAGAAAAATATTTTGAAAGTCATTTTTCCATGATGAGTTTTCTAAAAGTTTGTCTAGGTTAAGTTAATTCTTGGAAACTTTAGGAAAATATAGTCCAAAATATATACCACTGAGTAAAACTAATCTAGCTTCTTTGATAATTCGGTACACACAAAATCTTAAAGATAATTATTATTACGTGTCTTTACTTTTATAATAGAAATAAGGAAATTAACGAATTTTAATGTTATGTGTAGTTATTATACGCGCTAAAATATTATTATAATTCAATTTTCTAATCTACCACAAAACCGTTTTTAATGGTTTTTATTGTTATGAAACTATCGACTTTCGGGACTTCGGTTTGAAACGCGTACAAATCAGAAGAACAAAAACGTATAAAATATATAACTGTATAATATAATATACCTATATATAAATGTGAAAATAAAAATCTTGTCGTGTATGTTCTTTGAAACTAACTTAAAAATAACTTTTTACGTGATTTTTTGCAAAATAATCCTCATTGTCCGGAAAAGGTTTTAAACTATTTAAATCCTCGATCTGACCAGTAGGAGAAGTAGACCTAACCTAACGACGATTAGACCATTGCTGAATTGTTAAATAAAAAGCTAAAAAGTTTTTAATCGTGTCAGCAAGAGAAACTTGCTGCGAGTCCTAGGCCTGGATTAGAATGGGAAAGAAAACGACGATTACAATTTTTGTTTTATTTGCCTGTAATAACCTAATCTTACATAAAAATAAGTTTAAGCACGGGCGTAGCCGGGCGAGACAGCTAGTAATATAATATATATCTTAAAAACTCGAATTTAATCTAAAACAATATTATATACAACGAGAATAAAATGTTTTAAAATTTAACATGTTGAGGACTTTAATAGTATAGACAAAAATATATAAACGCTCAACTCATCGTTTCATTCGCTGAGTCCTTAAACCTTTAATGCTTTTGAAGAAATTCAATTTGTTTGACTCGGAATCTATTGATAAGTGGATATATATTATTTTGTATTATTAGTTCATCTCTTTTATTATTATTACTATTTTTTTTTTTGCTTTCTTCTTTTTTTATTTGAGTTTTTAGAAACGAAATTCAAAATATTTGTAAAACAATGAAGATCGTTTTGGTATATTGAAAAAAAAAAGTGTAATTTTTTAAAACAATACTAATATAATTAAACTGATCAAATTATATTAAGATATAACTACTAAGAAACATGAAAGAAAATAACATTGATAAAAAATACGTTTAAAGAGGACGTGCTACCTCCTATATGCACAGGGTATATCAGCAATAAACGAAATTTTAACAACTCTAAAATATTCAAATTTACTTTCAAATACATTAAAACGTAGTCCCGTGTCATTATCACAAATATTAATTGTATAATCATGATTAATTATACATATAATTTTGCAATTAACAAAAATGATTACAAAAATCAGTTAGTCCAACAAAATCTACTCGAAATACGAACTTGTAGTTAAGAAACTATATTTTTATCGTAAAACAAAAACTTGCACTGTCCACAGTTGGTATTGTGAACTCGCAAGCTATTCGAGTTTGAAAAATATAAAATCGTCAGTATTTTTAACAATAATCACTTTTTGTATTCGCAAGATTTAAAAATAAAACCGAAGCTGTACAATGCACAAGTTCTCCATTTTCCATGGTGAAAATTCGATTTTTTAATTATTTGTTCCATATTGAGGCGTTTTTAAGAGAGTAGATTTAGGAATAGATCCCAAATTTTTAATATACAAAATATTAATATATTATAATGTAATAAAGCATAGACTGCTTTATATTATGCATATAAAGCATATTAGTTAATGTCTATAATTAATTGATGTTTTTGAATATAAAAAAAATAATTTTATCAATAGTTGGGTATGTGACATAAATATTTTTGTAATACACAAACTGAAAAGGGGCATACCCCCCTTCACAAGTCTGAATATTACATTTTTTGTTTCCGCTTCTTGAAAATATTCTAAATACGCCATTGGTTCAATAATTATTATTTTAATAATCACGTCTAACAGATAGTCAATGCGCATCCACTTGTATTATTTTAAAAATAGCAAAAAAAAAATAAATAGTTTTCTATAGATTCTAAATGGGGTGAAAACTTTAGCGGTACTTTGGTACTATATTATTTCAATATTTCATTAACTGTGGTGTAAAAGTAAAACATTTTTTTTTTTTTTTTTTGGGTCAGTATTAAAATGCAATATTTTAAAAATGAAACAAACGGATATTCGTTAGTATATACGTGATCATATTGTTATACTAATCTTCTATATATATATAAAATAACATGTCCTGACTGACTAATTGACTGATTCATTATCGCTTAATCCAATCTACTGGACGGATCGGGCTGAACTTTGGTATAGAGATAGCTATCATGACATAGGTATTCGCTAAGAAGGGTTTTTTGAAAATCTAAACCCTAAAAGGGTAAAATAGGGATTTTCAGGTATTTTTAGTACAAATGTATAATTTAATTATTTTTGTTTAACTATGAGCTACCTTGGTGATACGGATGAAATAACAACAAAAAAATTGGACCGGCAACGCTGGACAAGACACCTATTGGGACGAAATTTGATATTTTTGAAACTTTAATTAAATTTAATTTGTTGATTGATAGTTGGTTAACTTGGTGACATGGATGATAGTTATTGGTTGTCACGGACAAGAAAACTATTATTATTATTATTACTATTATTAAGCAATAGCAAAACAAGGTTTTTATGAAAGAACATTTTTGAAATATCTGCCTGAAAATTTATAAATTTGAATGGTATTTTTGTATGAAAATCTCAATACTTTTTTTAAATGTCATTCTTAGCACCAAGACAACCCGTAAATCAACAAAAAAAATTCAACAATTAACGTTCAGTTCTGATGTCACATGTTTTCATAACAACAACATTATATTGATGATAAATAAAAATTAAAGTTTGTATGAAAGAAAAAATTTTGGAAAATCTACTAAAAAAAAGTTTGAAAATTTCAATGATTTTGAAGTCATGGCGTCACCAATAAAATATTGATTTTTTTTTACACTTAGATTACCAATTGAGTTATTAATTTTATATTATTATAGATTGTCAAAAAATACACACATAAAGGTATTAAAGGAAAACCGTGCTGTCTGCGAATGACGACTATAGTACGGTACACGTGTTTCCCACTGTCAAGCGTCGCCACTCTCCGATAAGTTAGGTTGGATTTCACCGTCTCTTAAATTAAGTGTTTAGATATTTTTGGTATGAAAATTATAAAAAAAATTTCACAACAGAACATTTTTAATCCGCCGAAGGTGGACTATACCCACTTTTCACCAATTTGTTTTCATTCAACACCGATACGGTCAAAACTAATAACGGAATATTGGTAAAAAAAAAAAATAATAAAATAAAATAAAAAATCGGTGCGGATAATATCGGGCGATGCAGGTAGTAATTAATAAAAATGATAATTATAATAATAATGGAACAAATTATTTTCGTATTTATAATAAATATACAATATGACCCCGTGGTCACGACCATGGACTTGGCCAATTCGATTGACAACAGATGTACTTATACCAAAATAATAGCCAATAGTCAGCATGTTAGAAAAAATTGATTTTAAAAATTAACAAATCACTGGATCATAATCGTAAATTAAATTCTAAACCGGAAAGTCAAAGTATTGGTAGCTCATCACCCACTTGCTTCGTACAAATTATAACATAATAGCCATATACTCTTACGGTCCACTTCGTAAACTGTTATAACTCATAAACGGTTCACAATCTGAGTTTAAAACGGGGGTGTGGATTCCTATTTGAAAACCAGAAATAAATAATCATTTAAGTAATAAGGAGTACTGATGGTACAAAATTGAAAACAGTATCAAAATAAAACGTAAACGGTTCCATAATGATTGAAAGAAAACAAACATATAGCAATAAATTCGCTTGAAATCCTCCGGGAAAATCATTCGTTCGTAAATCGTAATAAATCAGCCCAGTATATATTATGTAACTATTTATTTATGACTTTCCGTTTAGTTATTCACCAATATCTTATAAAAATGTATTATAATTTATAATAAAATTTAAAATGTTTAAAAAAAATATATTAAAATACAATAGCAATAACATGATAACATAGAATATATATTATTATTATACCGACTATACAATATTATTATGTTTGAATGAAATAATAATCCAGCCGACCGGATGAATAAAAAAAAATATTATTTAGAACGGCCAATATATAAGTATATCAAGTTAACTGCAGAAATAGAAAATAAATTTAAAAACCTTTGCAAACGAGCGATCCGGAGGTTAGGAATATTATTGATCAAAGAGAAAAAACAATAAGCTATATAAGAACGAATATTGCAAAAGGTATTCTTCGGCAGTACATCTAAGTATACCAATTGAAAGTAGGACAATTAAAATATAATATTATGTAACACCAGGTACCTTCGTTATGACGGATTACACAATAATAGAAGTATTAACACTACTACTATACTTTGTTATTATTATAAAGACTCTATGTTTTGTTATTGTAAAAGTGTCGCAAAAAGTGATTGTCGTCGTTGAAATAATAAGTAAATATTGTTAATAATACGGACGTGCTTTTATAGGAGCTAATTAACCTACAATTAAAAATATGTTTGATAAAAACAAGAAACAATGATAAATTGATGTGTTATAAAGAGTAAAATTTTAAGCGAATCTTAAGAGGATCTGATAATGACGTATTATTGTAGCAGGGGTAGTCAATACATTGTAATTAATAGTGAAAACAGTTGATAAAATGATCCGACAATTAAGTCCATAGCAATAGAATAATAACAACTTGGTTTCTTAAAATTAATGATCATAGGTTGTACATGACAGTAGTGTTCCCATATTGTATATTACATATACGTCAAATACTGACATAACAATTCGATAACAAATCGACGGGTATATTCTGAAAAATAGAAAAAAAAATCGAACACACTTCACACGACGGGTAGACCACTGTTATAGGTGAGAAATTGAGAAGGTAGGATGCAAAGATATCTTACGCAACGATAATCCATTGCTAACGAAAAACGATACGGAGCAAAAAATTAAGTTGTACATGTTTTAAAGGGCCGTAATATTTATAATTTTTGTTAATATTTGATATAAAAATTCTCATAAAAAAAAAAAAATTACATTAAACTCGACTTTTTTTTTTACCACAAATTTCGACTTAGAGAATGAACATCCTGATGAATTTTCAAGCATTTCTGTTTGATCTAACATCAAAAATGGCTCTTACATTTTTAAAATTTGTCCACGTCTATAAAAGACAAATATACATTTTTATCAACGTTTCTAGTTTCTGCGAATATTTTTAACTGAATTTACAATAAAAAAAACAAATTTAAAATATTAAAAGCATTATTTTCGTAAATTATCTCGTTCTTTCTACGTTTTTTTTTTTTGGTTTTATTCAATTATTAAGAAAAATCCACGGAAAACCAATAAAGAGATTAACTTACTCTCCAACTTGATTAAAAATAAAACAAAAAGGTCTCTTTTATTGGTCTTCTATTGGACCCCAATGTTTCTGGTAAAACATATAAAGTATACACATTTAAACTAACAAAATCATAATGTAAATTTGTTAGTTTTCATTTTACGTCTTTTTCTGCTTTTTCCCAATTATTATGAAAACTGTTTGAAAAAAAAAAAAAAACCGATTTACTTATTTACCATTCAGATCCAAAATTCTATCAATAATAGGTATCTTGTCATTTTTCTATTTCTGGTGAAAAAAATAGTGCGCACAAATTAAAAACAATGAATTCGGTAAAAATAAAAAGGTCTCCTATTGTCAATTTTCGATTTGAGCAAGTTTTCTGTTCGAAAAGTTATTACAGACATACAAAAAAAAAAAATTTAAAAACCCATATATAATCCCTCGCTCCGGAAATTTAAGAACAATAGAAACTCCGCCTCGTAACAAAAGAATTTGATCACCACTGAAGTGTACTGTGATCGCTTTAAAGGCCGCGTCAAAAGGTATCGTTACATGAATGTTTTTAGGTTAATAATACTTGAAACGCTAGACATCATAACAAACGATTATATAACACTGATCATCTCCGTGTAATAGAAATGGAAAAAAAAATCCCACATCCCACATTATATATATATATATATATACTGGATCTATATATTATGTTACGAATGCTCGTTAAAATCGAATTAATAGGCAGTTGAATGTTTTTCGACGTTATCAGCCCCAGTCGTTTCTTATAGGAAATACTATTATTAAAACCATCATATAATATTAGGTACCTATCTATATTTGATTTCGATAATATCGAACGAAATATCCTGAAGACAGTACCTATGACGTACACACGTTGTTTATCGGAAGACAATGAAAAGAAATTCTGGGGGGAGGGGGTAAATGTCAAACCTGTGTTCGACTGACCCACAATTCACGACGCCATCCGCCCAGAAACGTATTTACATTTTTGGCGTTTCGGAGCACTGTTTCTTCAGTGCCCTTTCATATTTTAAGAACACTTTTTTTTTTTTTTTTTACAAAACACTGCATTTTCGAACTCCATATTTTGTACTGCACACTTTGTACTCTAAACCACATCATTTTGACTTCACAGAACGAGTGTAATAACTTTGGAACGGGGTTGAAATTAAAAAAAAAAAAATAAAGTATTCCAATTCAAATGTAACAATTTCATAAATTATTAGTCAATTATCTGTTATAGATCACGATAACCGGTCATAATTAATAAATAATAGGGAAATGTGGCGCTGCAGGCCCCCTAGCCACCTCCTAAATACGACCTTGCCTCTACCTATCAGGGACACAGACCAAACAACAGTGGCTATAATTTAAAAAAAAAAAAATTGCTTGACTGGGTAAGTTTAGATTAATAATAATACGAAGAAAACAGCAATCGGAGATTTGACGGTAGGTACACCGACTCATTATAATATGTTACTCACTTGGTGACTACGTCCATTACTTCGCGTCTGAAACAGGCGGTGAGTATGGTGTACAGGAACGGGTTGGCGCACGAGTTGATCGGATAGATGAAAACGAGCAGTATTTTGGATTCGGAGATGCCGATCAGTGGGTAGCCGGCGAGCGCGGTGAACCCGAAGAATATCACTGGGGTGATGCACATGAAGTTGGTGCCGACCAGCAATAATATCTTGCGGGCCAAGGACGCCTCGCCCGGGACCGCGTGCCTCGTCTCGTAGCTCACGGACATGTACATCTGAACGTAACAGGTCAGCATCAACAGGAACGCGCCGGTTCCGAACGACAGCAACACCAGTATGTACAATACGCCACTGAGACGGGAAGTATCCATCGGCAGACAGATGCTGTTTGCGAGATGCCCGAAAAAAAAAAAAATTCAAATTATTATTCCGATAGTATAATAATATTATACACGGAAAACGCCACAGCAGTGCTAATATAATTTAGTGCGGCGGAAACTCGTAATAATTCAAACTGGGCTGATATTCGATATGTATTGCCGATATAAAACCGATAACCGATACGATATTTTATTTTCTCGGACCCATGAACCGATATAAAAAATTTAAAAAAAAAAACTCCTTTGTATTTTTTTTATAAAACATTTGATATAGAACGTTTGTAACGTAATAAAACATCTCAAATTTCTGCGAATAACTGATAAACGGTAATGTTACAACTATGGAACGTTTTTATATGTATTTTAAAATCCGCGAAAAAGCACTTAAAATCGTCAAAAAAGCCATGAAAAAGTTACATAAAAGTATTTAAAAAAGAAAGTGGCAGAGGGGTTTAAAAGACCTCTATCAGTTCCAACCCTATTAAATAAAATTTGCTAACACTGAAAAATGATTAAAACAAATTTTATTTTTTTTTAATAATATGTGCAAAATTACTTTGTGTTAATCGTTTTTATTATGTTAAAAAATTATTTTTAATAAGTTAGAGCCATTAGGGGGGAGGAGAAGGGCAGAAATTGTAAACACCTCTACTGCTTTTGCCTTTTATAATAATTTTTAAGTGACTTTTTAGTGAACTTTGACACTTTTAAGCGGTTTTTAAATGTATATACAAATCCGTTCCCTAATCACAGCAATTGAAACATTATCCAAGGGTGTATGCGACTTGCGTTATATTGGTTCAAAGAAAAAATTTGTTACCCGAAATATCGATAGTATCTATATGGGCCGACATTATAATATCGATCGTCCCTATTAATAAAACGCAAAGTTATTTCACAACGAATCGTCAGTCGTCACTACAGTATTATTATTATACTATACAAAAATGAACGAACGAATTAGATTTCGAATTTGTTTACACTGTTGGTAACAATATTTTCAACATTTCATGCGTGTTCCGTAGTAAAATTTGAAATGTTGAACATTATTATTAAAAAAACGATTCTACAAAATAAATAAAAAAGAAAAGAAAAAACATTTTAACTGTATTATTAATTCGTATTGTTTTCATACATAATACACATTCATACAGGAATTTATTAGGTAAATTAATTACACTGCACCGGATGTTAAATCATACGTCCCATAAAGACACTAACAGAACAGTTGAATTACCTCTATAAAAGGTAATTTTACCGAAGCGGCGATTTTTTTTTTTCAAGTTTTATATTAATTATTTATTTAACAAGTTATTTTCTTTTTAACAACGTACCTACCCGAAACTTAACCCCCTTAGTTATATACTTGGTTATATACCTATCGTAGTATAGACATAATAACAAACCGTAAGTTCGGATATTTCTTCGGAAATTTTCGAAAATCTTCACAAGTTCGGAAAGAAAAAACTTTTTATTCGGCATGAGCTATATGCCACGTACGGAATTAAAACTAAAAGCCGCTTAATTCGGTGATCCAAATGCAGTATAAAAGATGAATCCTGTTCGATTACTTTTTTTCTTTTTTTTTTTTAAAGCGATGCGCGACGACAAATATACACAAAAACCGACTATATTAATTATAATATACTAAAAAGTAAAAATTTTTATAACACTGTAATATTTATTATATTATATGACAGTTCCGAAATACAATGCGAAATAATTACACCACCTAATCCTTCATGAATATGCAACAGGTACTTACGAGATTACGAGATTGGATTAATATAATAATAAAAAAAAGTCTATTTAAGTGTCTTCTATATAGTGCTACAACGAGACGAGATGATTTTATTTTAATTTTCACGATTTTTATGTACTACTACGTATTATATTATTTTATTGGCATTCAAACAATTATAAAATACAAATAAAAATGCGTGATATGAGTACATGATGCTCGATATAATATTTCGTTTTTACCAGTATATAAGAATAACTGACGATAAACCACGCATGGGCATCACTATAGTCATTCTAAGTTGGCAAAAAAAAAAAAATTATGTATACAAAATGTGCATTCTATTTACTTTTCGAAAGTAAAAAAAATTATCGCTCGCTAATGTTCGTAATCTTATACTTAATAGTATGTTAAGTGCACTTAATATACAAATATAGCAAATTTCATGTCATTACAATATTTCAAAATTTAATTCTACAATTTAAATACACGGTGGAAGTGGGACGACTATAATATACACATTTCTCCGTTTGTTTCTAATCTCTCAGATCCTCGCTTTCCTATCTGTTATTTACTGAGTGCATTTATGTAAATCATCTGTAACACTATCCATCCGATGCTGTCTGATTAGTATCTTCTCATTAAACTTCCTTCCATTGGGTTTTCTTCAAATGGTATCGTTTGACCTCCAGAATGTCCTCGAATGGACACTCGGGTCGTTTTATCGTACAACAAATATAAGCATTTATATTGGGTTTTTCGTAGATTTGTTAAAATATATTATTTTTTCCTTCTACACATTTAATTTTATAAAATTGGTCCAAAAATCCATCTAACAGCGTTTTCGATTTGACGAAAAAATACGAATTTTGTGCAATAAATACGCACCAAAAGACAAAAATTATTTAACCGGGATAATATTTCGACTTTTGGATTGATTAATCTTGTGGACACTGAGTGCGAACTATAATAGCCTCACTGCCATATGTAGCATGAACTTAACATGAAATTCGTTTAGAGAAAGTTTAGCAGTTTAGAAAATTCACCTTTAAGATTCATCATATAACAAAAGTATTTTTATATTATATTATTTGAATCGGAAAAGGCCAAAAATAAATACTCGCAATCACAAATATGAGCACGCGATTTCCGCTATATCCTCTCCCTGATGTCAGCGGTTGACCGATCTACGGGGATGAGGATTTAAACCTCGACGTTGTTGGTTATTCTGCTTTTTGCTGCAGTGTATACTTTATCTTTTTGTTGTATTTTTAAGCTATATACTCGTAAACTCTTCGATCTAAAATGTGTAGGTAAAATATGTAGATAATATATCTACATTTTGATGTAAGTAGTTATGTTATTATACCAAGTTTCTACATGTAAAAATCAGAGTACATTTACTAGAAAAACGTGTCCACAGTCTAGAAGAAAAAAAAGAAAGAAAGAAATAAAGAAAAAATAAAAACATCTTAGTAAAACCAAATTTTTCTTTTCGGTGTATAACTTTACGAATAGGTACATGTATTGTGATTTTGTGCTGATAACGATATTTACGTGATGTTTAGGTTTACCTGGTAGTGGAATAACTCGATATGCCCATTAATGGCAAGGCAGCCATTACGATTGAATATATCCATCCAATAGCCATTATTCTCACAGTCGAAGTGAAAGACAGTTTTGTCGTGTATAGTGCTCTGCGTATTGAAAACCATCGTTCGACCGTTAGCATACACAACGTAAAGATCGACAGCTGAGAAGAAAAAACTGCCAAAAAACCTCCGATTTTGCATCCAATACCTACATTATGGTTAAAACAAAAACAAATCAAAATACCTCTTGATTAAAATTTTGAATAACAAAATCCTGACTTACTCACCATCGAAGATTTCGATTTAAATGTTTTTTTTTTGAAAAATAATACTCTTAAAATAAAACAATAAGAAAACATATAATATGCACTATAAAATGATATATTTTTAAAAGCTCCAATAATAATATTAGTTTTTTGTCTTTAATATGGTAAGTGCATTTTTTAAATGTTCAAAAATTGTTTATTCTAAACATTTTAATGTACTATACTTTAATTTGTCTTTATATTTGTGTCCATCTGACACAAAATCCAATTGAAAAAAATAATTTTAAAAAAATATATATATTATAATATATTTTAGGTGATAATATTACCATATTGCCAAGTGGATGCGTAATTGAAATAATTATCTTTGGATATTACATCTTCGTACGCCAATAATAACAAGTAAACTGCAGTGAAAAAGTCGGCAAAAGCTAAGTTGCCCATCAGAAATCTTGGAACGGAAAAGTGTAATTTTTTACGAAATGCGACCAACATAACAACGAAGTTGGGTAATAATGCACCGATGCCCACTATCCAAACGGAAATTCGAAGCCAAATTTGCCCCATTATATCTTCGCATGGATTCAAATCGTCTGGTTTGGGTGAACATTGGACAATTGATTTCCTGGATCAACATTTAGGCGAAATAAGTTTATGGTAAATAATGACAAACATAATATTGCTTTGACTGTCCACCGTAAAATTTAAGTGATAATATACTTACGTAGTCGAAGGAATTATTTGTCCACATTTAACATCTTGAGAACCAATTATTATAGCCGGTTTGTCTAAGAAAGATTCTTCTTCATTTCTAATAACGAATTGATTTGATTGAGAGACGTTCTGCGATACAAAATTGAAGGAAGGGTTGTTTTCCTTCATTTGTATGCAGTCGTCTTTTTGTTGAAAATCCTATACAAATCAAAAACAATTTATTTTATCGTAATATATTATCACTTAAATATTAAATGAGATTTAATAATAATATACTGATTCCTAGCTGTAATAATTAATTTAGATATTTTTTTTCACTGTAGTAAATTACTAGATAAAATACGTATGTAATTTGCTAGCATAACACAAAAAATCATTATAATACAACAACATAAAAAAAGGCCAGGGTTAAAGAGGCTATGGACTGTTTATAATTATTTTACACGTGCATACAATTTAAATTTATTAGTACTCAAAAATATATCACTCAGGTTTTTCAAAAATTTTGCGCTCAATAAGTAATTTTTCTGAGTGGCTATTACATAAAGTATAAACATTATACTTCAGCAATATATATGAGCACTGATGAACAAGAACAAATACATAGTATAATATATGAAAAACATAGTAAATAATATTATCGCCCTTTATATCACTTTCTTTTATCCGCCGATAAAATCCATACTTTGCACTTTCCCCGAGCACTTAACAAATTGGAGACTAACTTGAATTGGTAAAAAATGTCTTTGTAGATACCTATAAAAAGCTTGAGTTATACTCTTATTGAATTAATTTAATTTGATGTTATGAATTTTTCGCAGCATTCCCCCCGGGATGTTAATAAATAAATAAATTTTTCACATATTTGAAGACGAATAACATTCTAAATATTTTTGACAGGTATTATACTTTACTTTTATTTTAACGAGAATAAAATAAATTAGTAGGTTTATTTACTTGATCAAATTCGTATTCTGAAGAGTATTCTTGTGTAGAGTATTTAAAACTGCAGCAATGAAAAGGGTAAGTCAACCGAACTTCCTTCAAGTTCTAAATATACAAAAGATGAATGTATTATTGAACGTTTCTATATACATTTAAATTGAAAAAATTAATTTATATTAAGGTAAGATACTAACAGCAAGCGTATATATTGGGGGAATTATAGTTAGTAGAATTGTGTTTTCCAAGCGAATAGCCTCAATGTTCTCCAATCCAAATATCGGAAAAATTTTCATTGAAGAATCTGATAAGTCACTATAGTATAAGAAATCAAAATGAATATTTAATTGTTGATATTTAAACTTAAAGATTATTCTAAGGATTAATTAAATTAATTAAAAAAAAATAATAATAATAATATATTAAAGTAACTACAATATTATCCGTATGTACTTTTTAAGGTTATGATATTTTTTCAAACTAAAATAAAATAATATATAATATAATAAAATAACGAATCCTTCCTGATCACATCTTCTCACCTCAATCTACATTTATGATTTGTTCTATAGTTTAGGATTGTGACATGCATTTAAACTAATTCAAACAATAAAATTTGCACCATCTAATAGATTTAAAAATATACCCATAAATAAAAACATATTATTACTGTAAAATGAATACCCCTAATAACTTATCTATTTCACTTAAAACACTCATAAAAAAAATAATTGATAATTAAAACCATAATATTAACTGGTAAATATTAACGAGATCCAGGTAAAATTATTGGAACTTACTAAAAAAAAACAACGATATTAATAATTATAAAAAATGAATTAAGAAAACCAAAGTTTAAAAATTAGGAACAGCGCGTATAAAATAAATAAAATAAATACTCACATTTTCCGTAAGTTTATAATTCCTTCGAAACTGTGTTCTGACAAAATGTTTAAAGGGTTTCCTCTTAAATTCCTATAGAAAAATAAAAAATACTAAATTATAGTAGCTATTGTATCAAAAGTGAATGTGTTTAAAACATTATACTACAACGGAAATAAATAATATTTTAGTTGACCAAGTAAAAATATTATATTTCAAATAAATATGTACATATAAACTTACAATTCCGCTATTTCCGAACCGTTGAATGCCCAATTTTCTATGACGCGAATTTTATTATTTTCCAATAATCTATACGAAAATAAAACAATATTAAACATTACTGTTTGAATTTTGATTACAATACAAAAAAAGAGTTGATACTGGGGATGAGAGCGGCTACTGTTGTAGGTGATAAGTTGGGAAGGTAGGATACATAATGTTATTTTATTTATATCCGTAAGCAACGAAAAACTATTGCTTGACGAAAGACGATTCCGAGCGCAATTCGATAATACATAATTTTTGCGATTTTCGTTTAAATTTGATTTCAAAACGCTTACTAAAAAAAAATCGTCCGGTGATTTTGAAAATTTTATCACGTAAGTTAGTTAGGTAAGTCTAATATAAGTGTTATTACCACATTTCAAGTCTCTACGTGTATTTATAACCAAATTACAAAGCAAAAAAATCTCTCAAAAATTAAAATTCTTTTAAAGTTCAGAAGTGGCTCAAAAGTTTCGGCAATGATACCATTAGAAAGTAAACCAAAAAGGCAATAAAAAAGGTATTTTGTAATTTTTCGATTAAATTATTTTTTCCTGTAGAAAACGTTGTCCGTGTTTTCATATAATATAGAAAAAGTGAAATCGTACGTGTGTCTACGTTTTTGCCCACTTACGTGCTTTTATTTAAAAAATGGCGTCGAAAATTAAAAAATGATATTTTCAAGTACAATCTTGACAACTTGAGCTTTAAGAAAAGTTGCTACATGTAAAAATCAGAGTACGTTTACTAGAAAAAATGTGTCCACGGTCTAGAAGAAAAAAAGAAAGAAAGAAATAAAGAAAAAATAAAAACATCTTAGTAAAACCAATAGCTCCCTCGCTACGCTCGGAATCTAAATGTTATGAAGTGTATGTGGGTAGTGGATACTCATCATTTTTCAATATAATCAAATTACATAAGAAGACGCATCATAAATTACAATATACGTTTTAGATTTTGAGTGTGGTGAAGAATGTATTAGTTTTACTATGATGTGTTATTTTAAATTTTTATTTTTCCTGTCTGAGAATACATTTTCTTGGAAATTTAGTTTTAATTGCAAACGAGAAGAGTGCTTTTTTTATAGCATTTTTGATCAAGTTATTGCTTTAAGGAGGTAAATTTTTGATTGGGGAACATCTACATTAACAGTTTCATTATTTTCGATATTATTATAATTCGGTTAAAATTAATTGTAAAAACCTGAGATTGTTATAGAATACGTTTATCAAATCCTTTCTAGAAAGGATCAAATTATTAAACAATGCAGGCAAGAATTTATTTATTTATAGGCATTTGATAATTCCGAGGTTTTTAGTTTTTATTTTGTATACTGTAGATGAAATTGTTGGGCTGAACAGTAAAGGTCGCTCCACACTATGCATGTTTCGCGTTTCACGTTTCGTAGTGTTTACTGTTTCGTAGGGTTTCGTAGAAAAGGTATACACACTATGCATGTTTCGCGTTTCGTATTTTTCGTTCAGTCATAATTTGTTCGTGTCCTTTGATTCCGTTAATTTCACCGCCTCGTTCGTGAAACACTGCAAAACAGTATTCACGAAAAATTTTTCGTGAAAAAGCTATACACACTATTCACGAAATTAAACGAAAACTTGAAAACACGAGATGCGAAACGCGAAACATGCATAGTGTAAAGCGACCTTAATGATTGAACCCTAACCTAACCATACGAGGTTCTTGTACCTTGCACTTGGTGGTAAAAAAAATAAGTTTAGCGTTATGTAATGTTTTTAATTTTAAGTTTTTTAAGTTCAAATTACCGCATTACAAAACATTTTTAAGTGAACTACGCTCACAATCGAATTTTGTCAGCAATGATTTATCATTCCGTACAGATAAATAAAAGACTTAATGTACTTTGCCATCTCAACTGTCCACTTACAGCAGTAATACACCCGACAGTATTACCTATCTGCTCTTTTTTTATTTTCATATAATTTCGTTATTTACAATGTGTTTCGGTATCTGGTATACGGATCGCCATAACAGTTAAGCTTTATTAAATTAGAAACGATGGGTGTTAAACAGACACCAAGGTCTAACCTAAGGTTATTCCTTAACCCGAGCACCAAGAATAATATTATGATATAATAAGATGCAGTCAATCAAACATATTTGTCATTAGTTGTTATGTACTTAAATTAAGTTTAAATTGAATCGTACACAATTAAAAGTCCCGTGTTTACTGTATTTCCGAAATAAATAATAATTAACGATATTGTTTCAAAAAGGAAAATCATTTCAAGGACGCATCGCAATGGAATATTTTTTCAATTTCGATCTTTAAATCTTGTTTACATACAACACAAACCAGAATGCTTTTAAAACTGCAACCTTTTCACAAGACATAAGTATTATAGTAGACAAACAAAATAATTCATAACAAGAAACTACCGATACATTTAAAGAAACTAGATTTCATTTTTTTTTTTTTTAATAAATATATACGTCACAATAGTTAAATATTGTTTTATTTTATTTTCACTCGGTTTCCGTAGGGTTATTTGTCTCGTGTCTAATTATATTATGTACCTATGTGATATTCTTTCATACCCAAGTGGCTGAACGGATTTTAATAAATGTGGTGGTGTCTTTGAATTTGTTTTGATCTCGAGAATGTCATAAACTAAGTTATGTTTCTTAAATTAATTAGTGGAGGGTGGTGACAATAATCAAAAACCTATACATATAATATATCAGTGCCAATATATTATACATATATTGGCACTGCCAGTTAAATTCTGTTTGTTGGCTATATAGTATATACCTACATCTATAGACCTACTAATTATTATAGTATTTTTGATTAATAAATACATCGTTTCTATTCCTACGGACGTATAACAATATTATTTTAGCAACGAATAAGCATTGCTTAATTTAAGGGGAGATGGAGGGTGACGGAGTACCACAACTAATTTTTCAGAAATGTAAGCGTACTATTTGTTTGAAGTGGAACGCATGGGTCGCAGTAGAGGATATAAGATGACATGTCTGGAAAGAGCTGTATATAAGAGACTATATCGTTAAAAGTATTCAGTGGAATTTCTGACCTCTACGATAATTTTTCATTAAATAAACAAAATAGAATAAAACAGAAACAATTTTAGATAGGTATTATTATCAATGAATTTATATACTTATATACATAAATATACAATTATATTGACTTCAATTCGATAAATAATCACGGAATACGGAAATATTATGAAGTTTATACAGCCTCCGGTTTCTATATTTTTATATTTTTTTCATATAAACATAAATTAATTTATAATTTTAAGTATACCTAATAATAACAATAAATTGTATTATTTTTGTCTATTTTTCCCCTGATAAAAAAAAAATGTAAGTATTTAAATCTAATCATCACATAATTTTAATCCATTTTCGTAAACTAGTATGATTATTGTTATGAAATGTAGATTAATAATACTAATACAGGATATTTTATGATTACTAATTAATACGTTGAACGTAAAATAGTTTATTATAGTAGGTAAATACAGTGACGTGGCAAAGTCTGTTTTTTGAGCCTGTGTCTCGGCCAAAATTGGTGGGTGATAATAACACTGGCAGTAGATAATTTGTTCAGCTCAGAACTGTGATAAGGAAATCCCCACACTATCTAACTACCATACACACTAAAAACTACTTAGCGTCAACAGTAATGCCTATCATATATTTTTAGAAAATGAGATAATATTTGAGACAACACAAGTAGATACTCTGTTATTTAGTTATATAGTGGAAATCATGTATTAGATCAGTGGTTTTCAACCTTTTACGAATCGTGACCCCCTAATTTTTTTTTTCATTTATGACGACTCCTTCAAAAATCGTTTAATAGAACTTAAATAGTACGATGTATAGCATAAATATAATATTTTTGTATTTTGGTGACCTCCTTACTATCATTCACGACCCCTTTGTGGGTCGGGACCCCCAGATTTAAAACCACTGTATTAGATTATAAAAATAAAAGCTTTGTCTATAACTCTGTAAAAATACAAAACTTAACATAGTGGATGGGATATTAATGAGGAGGATCATTGAACGTGGGAGTTCTGTGCCCATATTTAGACCCCCCCCAATTGAATATATCAGTAAGTCACGGATCCTGAGCTGTTGGACGAGTAAAACTGTAAAACCAAAGAACAGTGAGTTCATAGTATAGGTAATAATTACTGATTTTTTCATACGATTGGTAGTGATAAATATAAAAAAATACTGAATTTCTGGGTCTTACACAAAAAAAAAATTGTCTACACACCGCTAGGTAAATAACGATGTGTTATGAACTACACAAACACAAATATGTATTAAATTAGTTATTTTAGTTGTTAGTTTTTTTTAGTAGTTTAGTATCTTTACCATAGCGTATTATAATATATTAAATTATTTACCTATGTTATGTTCTATAAACACCAAACTCAAGCTGCTAAATCACCGAGATGATCTTTTTTTAACTACTTAATAATAATTACGTACTCACAACAGTGCTGCACGAGTTTTGATTCCATTTGTCGGCAATACATCGAAGTTATTTTCTTCGAATTCACTAGAAAAATAAAACATAATATATAATGCAAAATAATAATAGAAATTGACCATTGGGAGAGGACATAGTCAAGAAAACCATTATTGTGACTACTATGTGATGCACTGTGGCCAGCTGACAATGTTTTCACAAGTTCGTGGTCATTAATTGTAATAATAATAATAGAAATTGTATAGTTTTAATAATAATATTGTGTTTGTACAGTTACTTACATTGTATGCATTGCATTTGGGTTTCCGAGGTCCGAAAGATCAGGAATGACCTTGAGATTTGTTTTTCTTATTTTTCTATAAATGGAAATTATAATATGTAAATATATTAAATGTGTTTTGTTTAATAAATAGTAAAAAAAAAATATATGTATACTGTATATGTGTTCATACAAACTTTATTAATATTTAGTACACAATTTTTTATAAATCATTGTGTACTACACGAATCATAAATTCGATTATTTTTTGTATTAATTTTAAGTTTAATTTTATTATTGATTGTGTACTAACATTTTTAATACATATTTTTATCCGAAAATTATTCGTGGTATAAATTAATTTGTTTCAATATTCCAGTAAGTATGGCGGCATTATAATAATTAACTGATAAGAAAATTACGATTTTTAAGTAACAATAAACAGTAGTACCTCGCTAATCCGACACTCATTAATCCAACAACCACAGTAATCCTCTCTTTTCCCTCCCTCTTTTTCATACATAGAAAGTTTTATTTGTAAATTTGACGTTATTAATACAACATTTCCGATATGGTTTGGTATATATTTTACAGTTAAAACCATCAAAACTTTTTTTAACTGAAATGTATGTATTCGAACTTGTACTATCTAAAATGCACACGATCACAGATGATCTATAAATATTGCACGATAAATTCGACTGGCCGGCTAACAAATCAATTAAGATAACTTTAACCAGTTGTTCATCAAATCACTTTTAGATACAATAACTCCGACCGATTATACCTAATAAGTAATAATTTGGCTGTGTTTCCGTCATGTCACCGTGTTTCCAGTTTTGACAGTGCGTTTTGTGTTTGTTATAGTCATAACCACGTGTTTGTCTCGCGCAACGCCCGTTTTCTATTCATGTTCATTCTTTTCAATCTCGTTGATGTTCGCCGGTGTTGAACATCGTCGTCATGTCATTGTATACTTTTGTTTCATGTCGAACACTGAGAGAAATGATAACCCGAGAACGGTTTTTTAAAGAAGCTTACGGAATCGATGGTAGGGAAAAACGATAATCATTATAATGTCATTACGAAAGATGCGTACGATTTGCTTCTATAGATCCTCGGATGCGATATAGCGATATCCTATGATCCAAAAAACCTCCGTTCAATATAGAAGGATTAAACGATTCAATGTTTTAGCACTTGCGGATTCAAAATAGCTGGTAACCAGTGGAGAGCCAGTTAAGTAATATCTATCGATGGAAGTTATTTTTAATGTCGTTGATTCGTCACATATCGCTGTAGGTCATGGCGGAAGAGATCGATTAAAGATTGAAACATCAAGAAAGTATGCTAACATCACCACTGACATGATTATCATCTCTGTGAAACGTGTCAGAAAAAGAAAAGGCTAGGAAAGAAAAAACTCATTTCGAATTAGTTAGTAATTATTACAATCGTACTAACAATCGTATTTCCTTTTGGGCAGCCACAAAAAAAGCATGATGGGGTCAGGACAAGACCTTGTAAAATGCACTTGTAAGAAATCTTGCGGAACAAATCGTTGTGTATGTAAAAAAAATAATATGTAATTCAAAGAGCTATGGCAATTTATCCTGTCAAAATAAATAATATGATAAATGCTTATAATAATATGTACTTATTTCTAATTTTCTCTGTAAAAACTATCAAAATAAAAATTAAGGACTTTCACTAGACAATACTTGTTTTTACCGATATATTTCAGAACTAATTCTAACTAAACAAAATTAAGTTAAAACTATTTTTAACGGTGAAGGTGTTAGTTAAAACTAGTTTTGACGAATTACGTGTTTTAACTTTAACGTATACATATAATGATAAGAATGCACTAGACGTACTTGAATACTCTCGTCACTCGTTAATCAAATAAATAAATTATCTACTAGTTTACTAAGCGTGTGACAGACCAGGACTTAAAAAATAAGCTCAATGGTAATGAAGAACAAAATGTTCAATTGATGACTGATGAAAAAAGCCTGCAAGACAATTTATACGATAATAATATGGAACATATTGAATAACCCATTGTACAAAAAATCCGTACAATAGGTACAGCACTTCTGTTTAACGGCTATATCAATACTTATCTCCAATGGGTTGATGAAAATGATTGTAAAATCTGAAAATATAATAGTATTGAAGCGGCTGCAAAAAAAAAAAAAAACAAAAAAAAAATCATGCAATAAAATTTCAATATACTATTATAATATATATTATATAGGTACAATGTTTACCATTACATTTTAGATTCCGAGCGTAGCGAGGGAGCTATTTGTTTTACTAAGGTGTTTATTTATTTTTTTTATTTTTTTCTAGTAAACGTATTCTGATTTTTACATGTAGCAACTTTTCTCAAAACTCAAGTTGTCTAGATTGAAGATGTTTTTTGATTTTCAACGCCATTTTTTAAATAAAAGCATCTAAGTGGAAAAAAACGTAGGAAAACGTACAGTTTCACGATTTCATTATTTTATAAAAACACAGACGACGTTTTCAACCAGATAAAATGATTTAATCGAAAAATCATAAGATACCTTTTATTGATTTTTTGATTTACTTCCTTACGGTATCATTTCCAAAAATTTTGAACCATTTTTGAGTTTTTAAGGAGTTTTAATTTTTGGAAGTTTTTCACTGTAATTCAGTTATAAACACACGTAAAGACTTAAAACTTGGTAATAATACTTATATTGGACTTACCTAGATGTGGTTAAATTTCCAAAATCATCGGACGATCTTTTTTTTTAAATAAGCGTTTTAAAATCAAATTTAAACGAAAATCACAAAAAAATATACAGCTCTCCAAATTATGTATTACCAGACCACGCTCGGAATCGTCTTTCATCAGCAATGGATGGTTTATCGCTGTTCACAGATATAAATGAAATAATTTTATGTATTCTACCTTCCTAACTTCCCACCTATAACAGTCACTACACCCGTCCCCAGTATCAGCTCTTTTTAAATTATAAATTAAATAAACTATATATTATATACATGTTTACATTCATTTTTGTGCGTGGTTTCTTTTTTTTTAGTCGAAACCTAAATAATCCGACAATGTCTCTTAATCCGACATCCTCTGGTCCCATATGAGTCGGACTAGCGAGGTCCTAACTGTAGTGAACTATGCGAATAGACCAGATTCGATGAAAAAAATTCGCAGGTATATAATTTATTTCTAACTACTTTTTGATAATATAATTGTTTGACAACTATTTCGAGTATAACAACAATATTAATCTACTTACAATACATTGAATGATTGCGAAAGACCACAAAATATATCTAAAGGTAATTCTTTCAACGAACGAGCAATCGATATAGACCTAAATAATAATAAAAAATAAAATCAATACAATATAAAACAAACAATTTAAATAAAAGATTACGCCCAATAGGTATTATAATATAAACGTACAACGATTGTAATCCATTTAAGTTTTTGAAAGTCGATGAATCCAAATGTGTTAGATTCTTTAAATTGTTTAATATTCTGTAAAATAATATACGTACGATTTGATATTATTATTAGATATATAATATTATTATCTACCGATATATTTTATAATTATTAATAAACAGGTACTTACATCTCGGTTATGTTATTTTTGTCACTATTGATTAATTCTTTGAAATTGCCTCTAATACTGTCATTGTTCTCAGCTCTAAAAAAAAAAAATTAAAAACATAACAAAAATTATTAATTATTTTTTTGTAATAATATCTGTATTCTATACAGATTATATTCTATAATACCTATATTCTTTATAGTATATATTTTTACGAATATTTTAATCCAGTATTTTGTTTTAAATTAAAATAATAAAACAAAATACTAGTATTAAAAAATGTATACAATTTTTCATAAAATATGTTAATTTTTTATCATAATATTCAACTTGCTAACGCATTTATAACATACCTGTTACATTTAAATATTATTCTAATACGACTTTTATAGATGGCCCAAAGGTTAAAAAGTTTTCATTGTATTAAATATATAAATAAATAAAGGCTATCATTACTTCATGTGCTACACAAACCGTATTTTTAAACTTTGTGTATACCTATGAATAAATAAGAATACAGGTTATAGTTCACGGGGGTCAATAAAACCAATAAAATAAATGGCATGGTACTGTTAAGATTCAATGCGCCAACAAAAATATTGTTGTTGATATTGTTATTAATAGAGAGGAGGCGGTATATTATCCAACTACTTCTTTTTGATTGGTATTGTAACTCTTCAAGAATTTTTGCCGCCACCAAGACCTCCTTCCACTCTTCTCTATTTCGAACTTTTTCTTCCTAATCTGGTATCCCTAGTTTCTTTAAGTCCTGCTTTATTTCATCTATTCATTGCTTCTTTGGAAATTCTCTTGGTTTCTTCCCTATGGGTTTCCATCCAACCACCGCTTTAAAATACTCTGAGTTGGGACTTCTTATCACGTGCCCAAACAATTGTACTTTCGAAAAATTGGTTATCCTTGAAACCCCTGTCAAATCTCGAATCTCTTTATTCTTTCTTCTGCGCCAGCATCCTAGTTTGTTGTCGTATACTGGGCCGTAGGTGGTTTTCAATATTTTGTTTTCGAACGACATAAGATTTTGTTCCATTCTACTAGTTAAAGGCCATACCTCACATCTATATGTTAATGTTGGTCTAATTATCACCATGTAGAGATGTATTTTGGTTCTTCTAAAAAACAGTTTAGATTTTAAGTATTTAGTTAACAAAAATAAAGCCTTTCTGCTTTAATGATTCGGCTATTTAATTCGATGAACTAGTCATTATTACCATTGATAGAGGCCACCAAATATGTAAATTGGTGTACTTTTTCAAATATATGCCCTTGAATCACTACATTGTCTACCTGGTTACTGTCTGGTAATAGCTCCATCACTTTGGTTTTATTATTATTTACATACAGCCCTATGGTTTTTGCTTCGTTAATGAAAGCTGCGGTGCTCTGTTTCATATTCTCTCCATCGTCACCAACTATATTCAAGTCATCACAAAAACCTAAAATACCAATCATCATTGTGCTAACGTCGATACCACAGTTATCCCTTTGTATACTCCGTACAATTTTATCCAGTATAATATTGAACAGTAGTGGTGAAAGAGCACCTTGCTTTGAGCCTGTTACCATTTGGAATTCTTCGGATAGAACATTATCCAACTTAATTTTTAAATTCTTCAACCCCTTCAAGGACTGCATCGCATAAATTAATTCTAAAGATAGGTTCTCCTATAATAATACTCTAGAACTTATGTCTACCAAAATTATGCATCGGCACAAGATTGCAAACAAAGCCTTTAAAAAACTGTCTGCTTAAGTGTTTGATTTTGACTAGCTGTGGAGCTGGGAAAACGGTTTTGGTTCCTAGAATACCAATGATACTAACCAATCTACCATTCAGCTTAAACGACGCCAATTTTCCATGAAACTATGGTTTTCAATGATCATCAATAAAGCACAAGATCAAACATTAAATGTTGTAGGTTTAAACCTAACCGTCCAATGTTTTTCCCATAGTCAATTGTAAGTAGCTCTGTCACGTGTCACATGCAAAAAATAATTATTCGTGTTGGCCCCATAAGGTGAGACACTTAACATGGTGTATTCAGAAATATGTAATACTTAAGGCAAATAGTAATTTAAAATTTAAAAATACATGTTTTAACAGAATACTTTTAGTCTGCCGAAAGTGCACTACCCACTTTTCACCTATTTGTTTTTATTCATTACTGACATGATCAAAACCAAAAAGGAATATATAGGTAAAAAAAAAATAAAAATTGGTATAGGCAAGACCAAGCAGGACAACTATACTCCGTTCCATATAAGAACGCACTGCTCGGTGCATCCAAATGTTTCACGAAGCGATGCCCTGCCCCCTTAGCTGAGTCTATTCACTCTATGATTGGTTACTGTTAGTCGGCTGTGTGAATTCTGACCGATTATCGTCCGCCGCCCGGCGCGTTCTTATTTGGAACGGAGTATAGTTATAAATATTTAAGAAAAATTAGGTAACTCCCACAGATATAGCCGTCTTATCCCTCTCCCCCGTTCGATTACCTTTGCTCCTACACCCGTAGGTCCTATATTTATTGTCTCTTGTATGTACTTCGTAGATTATAAAGTTATTCACTCAATTTCATCTTATTATTAAACTAGGACAGGCACTTTCAATTTGGTTTATTTCCTTTAAGTATTAAACATTTTGCTTTTACGCTGCCTATTGAGTTTAAAAACACAAACAAAAAATGTAAATTATACCTCTAGATTTGCTATGCACTATGTAAGTGTCAATTCCGATTTTTAACACTTAATTGTTTTTATTCTACTGTAAAACCTAAAACGTTGAGCTTAAAGTTTAATTTTACTAATGTAAATTTTATCAATGTAAATTGTTTGTTTATTCTAGTAAAAACAAAATTAAGATTTGAAAACAAAAGTATTGTAAACCATTTGTACGTATTAATTTTTATAAAAATAAATAGTGAATGGTGCCATACACAATTACTAAGTATATTAAATAATTTTTTGATGACATAATTTCAAAATGATTAAATAATCACGTAAATACCAGCTGTTTTTATGGAAGTATTGACAAATTTACTAAACATGATTTTTCATAACAACAGTTTAATAATTATATAAAACGAAAAAAAGAGCTGGAAAGATAGAATACATAGAGTTATTTAATTTATATTTGTAAAATCGAAGTTCGGTTAAATATATTTTGTAATGCCGTGTTTTTATTATCTATTTTCGCCGAAATTAAACTTAAATTACGTTTATACGAATAATTACATTATTGCGCTCGACATCTAACACAACTTATGATAAACTTTGTGTTCAATTTTCAAGTGGCTAGCATTTCGGCTAAAATAATTTTATCCACCAAGTATAATATTTTTTTTTAAATATATTTATATTTCGTATCATGTGTAGATATAATTTATTCCAAGTAACAACCCCTAAAGTTGATGATCGAATTAAATTCAGGGAGAATAGTTGTTTATACACATAAAAAAGCACACTTCATAACGTAAAAGTTTTACAAGTAAATTTTACTGTAAAACCAATACATCAATGGTCACACTCAGAATCGTAAATATTATAGTTAGTTTAATTTAGAAAATTAATAAATTATGATTAAATATTTAACCTGATTAATTAAATATAATTATTCATATTATTATTTATTTCATACAATAAATAATGATAATTTTTTGAAATTTAAAGGATTAGGTACCTATTAAAAATTGTATACAACATTCATAATTAGATACTTTAACTTTTATCTCAGAAAATATACAAATTAGAGAAAAATGTTTTATTAGATAACATTTTTATATTTTATTTCACAGCATCAATGATTAGTTTGGTTTTTTTTGCTTATATATTTTTCAGCGTATTTTATTTTGGGAAGATTTTCCTGTTAATACTTAAAATAAAAACATTATCTATGCATGATATTTTATTAGGAAACATTTAAACATTTTTGAAATTAATTTTGATTGTTAAACTATACTGTTACTCAGAGTGATTAATAATTATTGCTTTTGTATTAATTCCTGTACCATATTGAAACGCATAAACCATCAAACCACACATATAAAGCACTATTGATAGGATAAGTCAATTATTATAATATTATCCATTCGGATTTTACATTATTCGTATAATTTTAGGAATTTAGCTACTTAAGGTTATTTAATTTTGAAGTTTTAAGTCAACTTTAAACACTTCATTGTCTGTTAAAAAAAAATATGAATAGAAAAACGTGTAACGATTACCAAAATTAATTTAAAAGGTTCAACCTTAAATTATATATATAAAAAAAAAAATGATTTAAGTGTCATTTGAATTTTAAAAGATTATGTCAAAATATCCTCTAAAAATTATAATAATATTATATTATAAAATATCGTGACATAAATCGCTATTGTTAAAGGAAAATATTTTCAATCGAAATGTTTTGCATATTTTCGAAGCAAATTACTTAAACATATTATCCGGAATAATTTGTGTATTTTTATTCACTGAATTTAATAATCAAGTTTAAAATGGCAAAAGTTCGATTAAGATTAAGATTACAACAATGGGTATCATCATAATAATTTATCATATTAATATGTTAAGCACTTAGACAGAGTAATAATTGAAATATAGGGGAATAGTTTATTTTGATATTTAAAAGTTTATTAAACATTTGGGTGTGTCCATAGTTTACAAAAGTCGAGATAAACTAAAAACGATGATTATTTTAAACACGTATCTTACATTTTTAATAAAATAATCAATTATTGATACAAAAATATTACATATTATACTAATATATTTATTAATTACAACTTTACAATTGGAATTAAGTTTATACATATTGTTTTAAAATAAAATTATTTAAAAAATTTTAAAATTGCTAAGTATGTGTAACCCAGCGAGTGATAATTATCTATATATATAATATATATATAAATATATATAGGTAATTAAAATCAACGTGGTAGAACAGGGATTCGTGTGCGTTAACCTGTTGGTACCTTAGAAACTATTTATTTGATCATTTTGACCGTACAGTAAACGTATTCGACGTAATGCCTAAAATAAAATCAACTTTAAAAAGTAAAATATCGAATTGGATTGCTCCTTAAAATGAAAATAAAATAGTATCTTCAATAGATGGAAAGGTTATATAATGTCTCTTACGTAACAAATCTGTAGCTAGTGAAAAAAAAAATAACTATTGGATCATCATTCCAATCCAATTAACTTTTGTATTTTATCCTCATACTACACGTAATATACTCGGTCAGGAAATACGAAATACTAAGCTTCCAAAGTACTAGGAATGGTTTTAGATAGAAGACTCACCTATAGAGAACACCTAACCAGACTATCAGCAAAAGATAAGACTCGTCAGAGCATCTTTTCAAAGCTACCTAGCTCAACATGGGGAGCCGATGCAAAAACGTTACGCATAAACACGCTATCATTAGTATATTCTGTAGCTGAGTATTGTGCTCCCGTTTGACTTAATAGCGTCCACACAAAGAACGTAGACAAACACCTTTATGCAGCAATGCGCACGATTGGCGGGTTGACAAAATCCACACCACAAAAATGGCTACCAGTGCTTAGTAACATTGCTTCGCAAAAGTTACGAAGAGAACACGCACTCCTGCAATAATGGAAAAAGTACGCTAATAACCCTCCCTTCCTATACAAGCGGACCTGATTACAATAGAAAATGTTCAATGACTCAAATCCCGAAAACCATCGTGGAAAACAGCAAGGGATCTCACCAGAGATAAATTCAATATAAGTTATAAATGGGAAAGCGACTGGACAATAGAAAACCCAGATAACCAAAAACTGGTGATTAACCCAACTATCATACAACCAGGATTTGAACTTAAAAGAAATACTTGGGTAACACTAAACCGTATCAGGACTGGCCATGGTAGGAGTGGTCACATTATGTATAAATGGGGAATGCGTGTCACTGAAACGTGTGACTGTGGCTATGAATCCCAGACGATCAATCACATCACCACTAAATGTTCAATTCGTGTATTTCCAGGTACCATGGAAGATATCCACTTGGTGAAGAATGAAGCGGTGGAATGGATGAAGAACCTGGATTTGGAGTTATAGCCTACATTTACCATATGAGAAACCTCTTGTCTATTTTATGTTGGTAATGAATTTGCATTTCATCAATATGTTTGTTTATTTCTGAGTTTTATCAGTGTTAACCATCTTTTTATTTTATACATGTTATATCTTTTTATATTTTAAATGTTTCTGATGTTGCTCATATACGCCATACGAAATTTATATGTACATAATATACTACATATTTGTTCAGAATAACATTTATATTTTTTTAGTAAAATATCGAAATGGATTTCTCTTTGCAATAAAAATAATATAGTAATGAAAATAAAATAGTATTTTCATTAGATGGAAAGGTTATATAATGTCTCTTACGCAACAAATCTGTAGCTAGTGAAAAAAAAAATAACTATTAGATCATCATTCCAAACCAATTAACTTTTGTATTTTATCTTCACACTACACGTAATATACTACATATTTGTTCAGAATAACATTTATATTTTTTTAGTAAAATATCG